GTGGTGGAGTGACAAAACCCAAGTATTAATACGTTACCATCTAGGCCTTTATCTGGTCTGTGGACTTATACCCGTGTGCTTGGTTTACAGGCTCAGTGGTTCCTCAGCCCGTGACAGATGAGAAGGAGCTACATTGAAGGGCAAGGAGGAACTGTTTGAATTTTCCTGAGAGCCTGGCTTAGTGCTGGGCCTTCTCTTAAACCTCATAACAATGAGGTTGGTACTTTTAGTCCTTGTTTTACAGGGGTTAGAATAGACTGTTAAGGGACAACTGAGAAAAGATAGAGAAGTAACAGTCAGAGGTTGAGAGGGGCCATTAAAATGTAAAAGCAGGCATAGATCTGCCACCACTTTGTAACAAGATGGTTTCTATCACAACCCCAGAGAATAATTTGGCTTATAATGTTTATACAAATGTTTAAAGAAAGCAATAAGGTGGGTAAAAAAAAATCTTAGTGCCAAAACACACACACACACACACACACAAAATCACTGTTGGCCGGGCACAGGGGCTCACACCTGTAATCCCAGCACTTTGGGAGACCTAGGCGGGAGGATCACTTCAGCCAGGAGTTCAAGACCAGCCTGGATAACAAGGTAAAACCCCATGTCTACAAAAAATACAAAAATTAGTTGGGGATAGCGGTGCATGCCTATAGTCCTAGCTACTAGAGAGGCTGAGGTGGGAGGGTCACTTGAGCCTGGGAGATCGAAGCTGCAGTGAGCCATGAACATGCCACTGTACTCCAGCCTGGGCAACAGAGCAAGACCCTGTCTCAAAAAACAACAACAACAACAACAAAAACCCACAAACAAAAACCACTGTCCTTGCTAGTCCTTTATCCTGTTTTATTTTTCTTCTAACACTTCTAGCACTTCACATACTATATGAGTATTTGCTTATTGTATGTCTCCTTGACTAGAATGTAAGTCAGCTCTGTGTTGAGCAGGAATTTTATATTGTGAATCTAAAACAATGCCTGGCATAGAACATGCATTCAGCAAGTACTTGTTAAATGATTGGAAGACGAACCAGATTTTGGACTACTGCTTATGCTGGATAGCATGTAAATTAAAGCTATGATCAAATACAGGCCATGCCTCTGAACAGCTGATGACCACTTAGATTCTAGGTGCCACAGATACTGCTGCTTGGTTGGTTACAATACACATTTTTTTTCCACTTTTACTCTGAACTATTATTCATTATTGGATGGTGGGTGAGGGGAAAAATACAGAATACATGTCCTAGTCCAGTGCTGTCCATTAGAGCTTTCTTTAATAATGGAAATAGCCTATATCTGCTGGGCCACTAGTGGCTATTGAGCACTTGAAATATGGCTACTTTGACTGAACTGAATTTTTAATTTTACAACTAGCTGTGGTTACTAGTTACTATATTTAGCAGCCATGCTCAACAATCCTATAGGTCTATCTTAATTATTTTTATAGGAATGAAGAGTATTATAATGATTTCTTAATTATATATATTTGGTTTTAATTTCTACGGAGGAAGAGGACAACAAAGTTTTGTGAACTACTGTTCGGATAAGTTTGTGGTTTTTTAAAGAAAAGACTTCACAGAGAACAGGGCAGAGAGTAACAAAATATCTGATTTCCAAAAAATTCAATCAAACTTTGATATGGATTCGGTCAAATCATTGCTAAATGGCCTCCTTAACATTATTATTAAACCGATTTATATAATGTGCTTTTTACTAGTCAAATACGTTGTTTTAAATCTTAATTATTTTTGATTATAAAAGTAATACACATTCAGTGTAACAGGTTCAAATAGTCTCTCAGGCGGATAAAGTAAAATACGGATGTTCACCACACTGTACCTACCAAGATGCCCATACCCCAAAGATGATTGCTGTTAAACATTTAGAGTACCTTTCCTGACTTTGTTGTCTAAGCAGCTTTAAAAATCAATACTTTTGGTTTAAAGTGATAGCTCTGAATCCCCTTTAGGCATAGAGTGTGGGAAATTATATTTCTGCAGCACACTCAGGCCCTGCAACATCAAGTGTGGATTCACTGGAAATTATTTGAAGTAACACTTAGAGATCATAGTAGCCAAAAAAATGTTGGGAAATGAAAAAGGGGTTTTAAAAAATTAATTATTATTATTTTCTTTTCAAAGAGACGGGGTCTTCACTCCGTTACCCAGGATGGAGTTCAGTGGCGGAATCATAGCTCACTGAAGCCTCAAACTCCTGGGCACAACCAATCCTCCTGTCTCAGCCTCTCAAGTAGCTTGGACTACAGGCATGCACCAACCGTGCCCGGCTAATTTTTTATTTTGTAGGGATAGGATCTTGCTGTGTTGCCCAGGCTGGTCTCAAAACTCCTGACCTCCAGCAATCCATGCACCTCAGCCTCCCATAGTGCTGGGATTACAACTGTGAGCCCCTACACCCAGCCGAAAAAGGTTTTGTGGAGGGAGTATGATCAGGAGAAAAATCATGGAATGTGCTCGAAAGAGATCTAAAGGGCCATGGAAGTTAAAACGTTGAACTCTATAGAACAAAACATGAAGTATGGAAAGATTATTTTAAAAACACTTGGCTTTGGAACAAAATCCAAATTGTTCCCATGATTTCATTCTTTGACATTATGTTCATTTGGTTATCTTAGTCTTTTCTCAGACTTCCTCTTTAACAGAGAATTATCTGAAAGCCCCTGGCTAAGTTAATGCTTATGACTGTGGTCACAAATGGATGGCTTGGATTTTATTTGTCTTGCAGTGTTTGTAAATTTTTTTATGTATACTGTTGTTGTCAACTAACAATCCGTGTGTATATGGATTACATTAGTTGACACACACACACACATATATATATCTATATAAAATATTCCCCAAATTTAAAAAGCAGTTTGGAGATTTTTCCCACGCACAGAAAATCAGAAAATTGGCAACACTCTGCCCCATTTCCTCATGGCAACAATTTAAACAGGCCATGAGCCGTCCACATGGAGACTGGACCTTGAAACAGCAGCTAGTGTTTTGAGCTCTAAGCTAACACTTTGGACTTTCAGTCATGTTTTCTTTCCCCAAACAAATAGAAAAGTTTTATTTCAAAGAGGAAAAGGGTGCAACAGCTGCAACATACATAAAACCTATTTAGTTTTACTTGGGAGTGAGAATCAGGAAACCTGGGCTGTTCTTACCTTAGTTTGGACAAAGAAGGGTAGTTAAGCTGTCCTTATGTCTCTTACCAAGTGGAGAAAACACTGCTGTAGTTCACAGAAATTTTGGGGAGTTTTAGATTCTATGGAAAACGGAAATGCTATTTGTAACTTAGATTTTTTTTTTTTTTTTTTTTTCAGGATACTTATGCTTTGGCTAAAAAAAAAAAAAATTTTTTTTTTTTTTTTTTTTTGGAGGAGCCTTGCTCTGTTGCCCAGGCTAGAGTGCAGTGGCATGATCTAACCTACACCTTCCTGGTTCAGTCGATTCACCTGCCTCAGCCTCCTGAGTAGCTGGGATTACAGGTGCGTGCCACCACGCCCAGCTAATGTTTGTATTTTTAGTAGAGACAAGGTTTCACCATTTTGGCCAAGCTGGTCTCAAACTCCTGACCTCAAGTGATCTGCCCACCTCGGCCTCCCAAAGTGCTGGGATTACAGGCGTGAGCCACCGCAATCAGCCTAATTTTTAAATTTTTTTTTTGTAGAGATGGGGGTCTCCCTTTGTTGCTCAAGCTGGTCTCTGTCTCTTGGGATCAAGGGATCCTCCTGCCTCAGCCTCCCAAAGTGCTGGGATTACAGGCCTGGGCCACTGAAACTGGCCTTCATTACAAATTCATTGAACACACTTTATTTTATCCTTTTTTTAAAAAAAAAAAAAGTTTAATTTCAGGTAGTTTTGGGGTAAACAGGTTGCATGGAAAGTTTTTTAGTGGTCATTTCTGAGATTTTGGTGCACCCATCACCCCGAGCAGTGTACACTGTACAATGGGGCACACACTTTCACCTTAAAAGCGTCCTACTAGATCTTGGCTGGCCAGATTTCCCATCCCTAAGACACCCGGAGTGTTCCTGAGGCCTTAGTGACTACTGCCTAAAGCTCCACACCAACATCAATTTTATGTTTACAGATAACTGGAGCATCCAACTCACCTTTCTCTAAGAGAGTACAAAGATCAGCTCGCGAGAAGTTCAGACTCTCCAATTCGTTTCTGTTAGACGTTCCCCCCAACCAGACGGAGTCTTGCTCTGATGCCCAGCTGGAGTGCGAGCACGCGCGATCTCGCTCACTGCAACTTCCCCTCCCCGGGTTGTAAGCAGTTCTCCTGCCTCAGCCACTGGAGTAGCTGATTACACAGGCGCGCGCCACCACCCGCCAAGCTAATTTTTTTGTATTCTTAATAGAGATGAGGGGTGGGGGGGGGGGGGTTCCACCCATATTGGCCAGGATGGTCTCGAACTCCCTAAACCTCATGATTTGCCCGCCTCGGCCTCCCGAAGTGCTGGGATTACAGGCGTGAGCCACCGTGCCCGGCCTCGACGGGGCCTTTTAAATGACGTTAAAAATTGTACAAAAAATATGTTTTAGGATAATACCTGTTTTTCTTTGACCAAAGAAAGGCTTGGCTTCAGAGAATGTTAAGACAGAAATAGAGGGGCGTTAAATCCCGTTTTAAGTTTTTTCTAATTTCCAATCTGAGGAGGAAAATAACGTAGTAAAGGGACGCAAGAGCAACCTCGCTTCTTCCACAAGGCCCAGGATGCGAAGCGAACCTGGGCCGCTTGGCTACCGCCCGGGTGCAACCCGGAAATGCAGGGTGCAGTGCGGGGGGTACGGAACCGGCCGCCTGTGTTGATCCGGCTCAGAGAAATCCCGCCCTTGCCGCCGCCGCCCACCCAAACGTCCTCCTCGACCCTCCCTCGCCCCGCCGCTCGGCCCTCACTGAAAGGGGGAGGGCGGTGGAAGAGAGAAGTCAAGGAGCGCACGCGAAGCCCAGCCCCTACCGTGACGTCTGGAGACGCGACGCGTCGCCTCGCAATGCAAATCGGGAAAAGGGGATGAGCTGGGCTGGCTTCCGTCCTGATAGCCAAGGCTAATTCTCCCTCGAGTTCTTGGGAGATGGGCGTTTGGCGAGAAGGCTGGCGTTAGTGAAGCGCGCCGGGCGTCACGGTGAGTGCGGGTCTTGGGCCCTGGCACCTGTCCTCTGGGAAGTCGTCCGGTGTGAACCCCCTGTCTTTCCACCAGCTGCTGGTCACCCGGGAGACAAGCCCTGTCCGCGGAGAGGAGTGGGACAACTCCGAAAGGTAGAACCGGCTTGTGGAGAGGAAGGGCCCAACCTTGAGTCTTTTACGCCACCCATCTAGGATTGCCAAGCGAGTTTCGTGCGGTTTTTCGGTTTTAAAAGGTGGCTTTGACTATTCTTCCGTTCTCTTGGACACTTATACCCGACTTTGACCTCTTTCCTCTTGCTTCCGGTTTTTTGTTTTGGTTTTTTAAAAATTTTTTTTATTTTACTCTCTGCAATCTGCCTACAATCCCAGGCCTTACTACAGCTCCTAAAACTGTTTCCCAGTTTCTCCTCTTCCCTAGTCACACTTCATTTTAGTGAAGTTAGAGTTTAAAGACCCTATAAGCTTATCAGAGTTAAAACTATGACTGCCTCAAATAGAAGCTTTTTTTCCCCCCCCGCCCCCTAAAAAGTGCCTTCCAACCTAGAGTTGTGGGACAAGTTAATTTCGCCGCCACTCCACCTTGGAAATTATCGGAATCCTTACTTGCAGCGATGTGCATTTATATAGAAAGCTGCAGACCACCCTCCTGGGTTTATTTCTTGCCTCCAGTTCATTCTGTGACCTTGAACAAGTCACTTAATCACTAACAAAATATTTACCTGACACGGAGGTGTTGCAGAGCCTAAGGAATTTAGAATTTAAGAGACCTGAGGGTTTCAGATGAAAGGGATTTGTATCTAAAGGATATTACCTTTTCTGAATCTGCGAAGCATCCTTAGTTTTGTAAATATCTTGCTGCAGCCATGAAAAATGCCAAGTGGTTATTTGTTAAGGAAGTGTTCCTGTTTTAGGCTTGCTCTGCTGCGGCTTTGCCATGTAAGCAGATTTTGCATTTCAGCCGATTCTGTTTAAGATTCATTGGTGAATGTCATTCATGATGGATTTGGGTAGTTTCTCCTTACAACATATCTCTGGACCATTAAGCATATCTGGAAGGTGATATCGGTTGTGTTATGTCTTTATCATGTTGATATGGCTGCCTTGAAATAGGTATTCCTTTTCTTGTGACACATTGGATGCATCTTTAATATTAGATAGTGAAAAGCCTGTAGTAGTAAAAATATATATATATACACACCTGTCATTAATGAAATTTTGCACATAGGCATGTATTTTTTTTAGAAAACAATGTATAAGAAAAACTAACAAAAATGTTTTAAAGGTGACTTTTTTAGCATTTCATTTTTTAATATATTTACTTGGACTTTATTAATCATTATGGGCATTTGTTTATTAATGTGGACGTGGCTGGGCGCAGTGGCTCACGTCTGTAATGCCAGCACTTTCCGAGGCCGAGGAGAGTGGATCACCTGAGGTCAGGAGTTCGAGACCAGCCTGGCCAACATGGCGAAACCTGGTCTCTACTAAAAAACAAAATTAGCTGGGCATGGTGGCACACGCCTGTAATCCCAGCTACTCCAGGGGCTGAGGCAGGAGAATCGCTTGAACCGGGGAGGCAGAGGTTGCAGTGAGCTGAGATTGCACCATTGCACTCCAGCCTGGGTGACAAGAGCAAAACTGCATCTCAAAAAATTAAAATAAAAAGCGTGGACATAATGGAAAATAATCAAAATGACTTTTGAGTAAGACAGTTGGAAAATAAAACCAGTACATTAAATTTTTTTCATAAGTCTAGCATTATACTTTATTATGAACTTTTCTACATGAAAATGCGCTCATATTTATGGAAGTGAAAGGAAAAAAATCTTCAAGGATGTGTTGTTAATAAAATTAGAAATAATTAAGGAAACATTTAAAAAATACCTTGTTGTTGTCCCAGTTACCTATTGCTGTGTAACAAATCACTCCAAAACACAGTGGCTTAAAACTATAATTTAGTATCTCTCCTGTTTCTCTGGCCTGCCTGTACTTAGCTAAGTGGTTCTCACCTAGACTTTAATGCGTTTATATTCAGATAAGCAGCTGAGTTTGGAGTCATCTGAGAGCTCAGCTGGTCTGGACATCCAAAATGGCTAATTCATGTGAAGGCAGTTGATGTTGGCTAGGAGTTCAGCTGGGAATGTCAACTGGAATGCCCACACATAGCCTCTTCACGTGACTTGAACTTCTGACGTGAACAGTATGGTGGTTAGGTTCCAAGAATACATGTTTGAGGAAACAGGAAGTAGAAGCTGCGTGTCTCCCAAAAAGCCTGAACCCAGAAATAGGCACAACATTATTTCCAACATACTCTGTTGGTTAGAGCAGTCAGACCAGTATCCAACCCTCACTTTTGAAGGGAAAAATGTCAAAGAATTTGTGGCCATGCTTTGTCTACTGTAATTTTGATGACAAAGTTGTATTGGACTCTTGTTTGCATTTATATAGCAGATGAATAATAAGGTATGCTTCCAATTTCCAATTTCTTTTCTTTTTTGAGATGGAGTCTTGCTCTGTCGCCAGGCTGGAGTGCAGCGGTACGATCTCGGCTTTTTGCAACCTCTGCCTCCCGGGTTTATGCCATTCTCTTGCCTCAGCCTCCCGAGTAGCATGTCGCCACGCCCAGCTAATTTTTGTATTTTTAGTAGAGATGGAGTTTCACCATGTTGGCCTGGATGGTCTCGATCTCTTGACCTTGTGATCCACCCGCCTCAGCCTCCCAAAGTGCTGGGATTACAGGCGTGAGCCACCGCGCCCAACCCATTTCCAATTTCTTTAACCATAATGCATTATGTTTTAATGGCATGTTACAGTTTTCAAAACATGTTTTTGTATATTTTTTCACTTGATACCTATGGTCACCCTATAGAAGCAGACAAATCATTCCTGTTTCATTTTGCAGATGAAAGTAAACTGAAGAGCAGTGGTGGTCATGTTGGGAGTGATTGATGGAATTTGTTGAAAGTCATATGATTAATAAATGGAAAGTAAGGCCTGCAACAGTTCCATAATATTAAATTTACTAGTACTGAATGATGAAATATTATATTAAACTTATTTAGAATTCTACATTTATAGCCATACTAATTTTTTTTTTTTTTTTTTTTTTTGGGAGACGGAGTCTTGCTCTGTCTCCCAAGCTGGATTGCAGTGATGTGTTCTCGGCTCACTGCAGTGTCCGCCTCGTGGGTTCAAGCAATTCTGCTGCAGCGTCCCAAGTAGCTGGGACCATAGGCACCCACCACCACGCCCGGCTAATTTTTGTATTTTAGTAGAGATAGGGTTTTGCCATGTTGGCCAGGCTGGTCTTGAATTCCTGACCTCAGGTGATCTGCCCACCTCAGGTGATCAGCCTCCCAAAGTTCTGGGATTATAGCCGTGAGCCATCGCATGTAGCCCTTTGTTTTTTTTTTTTAATTGAGACAAGGTCTTGCTCTGTCACCCAGGCTGAAGTGCAGTGGCATGATCTTGGCTCACTGTAACCTCTGCTTCTTGGGCTCAAGTGATCCTCCCGCCTCAGCCTCCCAAGTAGCTAGGACTGCAGGCACACGTCACCACACCTGACTAATACCATACTAATTCAAGTAAAACAGTTCTCATGTATAGTGAATATGGCTTAACTAAGCCTTGTCTCTTTTGACTAACACATTACAATTTTGTTTTTTGTTTGTTTGTTTGTTTTTGAGACGGAGTCTTGCTCTGTCGCCCAGGCTGGATGCAGTGGCACAATCTTGTCTGACTGCACCCTCCGTCTCACGGGTTCAAGCAATTCTCCTGCCTCAGCCTCCCAAGTAGCTGGGACCATAGGCACACGCCGCCATGCCTGGGGCTAATTTTTTTTGTTTTAGTAGAGATGGGGTTTCACTGTGTTGCCCAGGCTGTTCGTGTACTCCTGAGCTCAGGCAATCCGCCTACCTCGGCCTCCCAAAGTGCTAGGATTACAGGTATTAGCCACCGCGCCCAGCCTACAATTTAGTTTTTAGTAATACAGCAGTCTTCCCGTTATCTGCAGGGGATATGTTTCAAGACCTCTAGTGAATGCCTGAAACCACAGATAGTACTGAACCCTATATATACTATGTTTTCCCTATAAATACATTTTTATGGTAAAGTTTAACTTATAAATTAGAAGCAAGAGATTAACAACAATAACTAATAATAAAATAGAATAATTACAGTATAGTGTAATAAAAGTTATGCCCTGTGGCCATAACTTGTGCAGCTTGAGGTGTGACAGCAAAACCAACACAAATTTTCTTTTTGCTTCTTCACAGTTTTGCAGAAAAAAAGATCTTTCCGTAGATCTTAGCAACGTCAGCATGAGTTTTTTTTTTTTGTTTTTTTTTTTCTCTTACTGAGTTGAGAACTTTCACCTTTTCGCTTAAAGAAAGCAGTTTACAGCTTCTCTTTGGCATATGTGAATCTGTGCTCTTACACTTTGGAGCCATTATTAAGTAAAATGAGGGTTACTTGAACACAAGCGCTGTAATACTGCTATAGTCAGTCTGGTAACTGAGACAGCCACTTTAGTGATTAACAGGCAGGTAGCGTCTACAGTGTGGATACACGACAAAGGGATGATTCATGTCATAGGCTGGGCGAAGTGAGGTGGTGCACAATTTAAAACTTATGAATTGTTTATTTCTGGAATTTTTTATTTAATATTCTTGGACTGTGGTTGACTGCAAGTAGCGGAAACCATGGAAAGTGAAACCGTGGATAAAGGGGGACTACTGCACTGAATTCTGAAACACCAATAATCATGTGAACCCACATGTCTTTTTAATAGTGTGAAATGAAATAATTACACATTATAATACCAATTTCAAAACAAAAAAAGTTGTGGGCATAAGAATCCTGGAGGTGTTATTTTAATTTCTCAGTTACAGAATTTTAAAAATGAAAATGATTTTTTAAAATTTTGGTAAGTTGAATGATTTAAGATGCTGATTTCAGCTGGAAACAAATTGTTGCCTTCGTATTATTTTGTTGCTTCTAGCAACATGTTTATATTCATTCTTATATTGATGATTTCCAGTCTTGACTGCATATTAGAATTCATTTGGGAAGGTTTTTAAAAATACCTATATGGGCGAGGCAAGGTCAGCTCATGCCTGTAATCCCAGCACTTTGGGAGACCAAGGCAGGAGGATCCCTTGAGCCCAAGAACTTGAGACTAGCCTGGACAACATAGTGAGACTCTGTCTTTATTTTGTTTAATATATAAATAAGAAAATAAATAAATAAATACCTGTGTGTATATCTCAAATCCCTAAAGATTCTGATTTAATTATTTAGGAGTGGAATCTGAGCATCCATTTTTTTGTTAAATTCTCTAGGTAACTGATTCTAACATACAGCTGGGATTGAGAACTATGTTTTTGGTACATGTTGAGTGTGATCTGGCTCCCTACTTAACAATTTTGCATCAGATAAAAAAATTAAGCAATGAGGGAGAAGACAAAATAAATGAATTAAAGTTATAAATGTAGATATCTATTCTGGAAAACAGTTACCCTTTTTTTAGTTTCTGGTAATGGTCCTTAATAAAATGAACAGACATTGGCCTGGTTTGCTAAGTGCCTATATCACAGCACTAAACCATACTTTACTTTGTTACAATTATGCACTTGTCTTTCATTTTAAGAGGCAGAAACTTTATTAAGAGGTGTATTTTTTTTTAGTATCCCCTGTATCACAACACTGCACCTTGTGTATAGTAGGTTTCTATTGTTTACCTAACTGAAGCCAGTTTAGACAGTCACTCTTTACAACTAGGGCTAGTTTAGCTCCTTGGGAGACTGAGAAAAGAGAATTGCTTGAACCTGGGAGGCAGAGGTTGTGCTGAGCTGAGATCATGCCACTGTACTCCGGCCTGGACGGCAGAGTGAGAGTTCATCTCAAAAAAAAAAAAAGAACTAGGGCTAGTTTATTCTTTTATTCTCATGGCATTCTAAGAACTTTGTAAAGGTTTCTTGAAATACTCTATTCTCTCTTTCTTTGGTTTTCATGTTATACTTTCCTGGTTTTCCATCATTCTAATGACTCCTGCTTCCTTTTCTGATCGATTCCTCCTTTAGACTCCCCCTATTCTGGGCCCTTTAAGTTAACTTTTCAGCTGTAAAGAAACAAGAGCTCATTTCCTTAGTGGTTCATCCTCCTGATTTTAGTTACTAGTGTAAGTAATGTCTGTGTTTTAAAAACTATTATAGAAGATTAAAAATGTACATAAAACTGAAGAAAATATGATTATTTTATTTTTGAGACAGGGTCTCCCTCTATTGCTCAGGCTGGAGCGCAGTGGTGTAATCATGATTCATTGCAAGCTCAACCTCCCAGGCTCAAGCAACCCTCCTGCCTCAGCCTTCCGAGAAGCTGGTACCACAGGCGCATGCCACCGTGCCCCACTAATTTTTTTTTTTTTTTTGTAGTGATGAGGTCTCACTGTGTTGCCCAGCAGTTCACCAAATCCTAGATAACATATAATTTTGGTGTCAATACTTATCTTCCAAAACAATAGGGATTATCAAAATCAACATTGATGCCTTATTAGTTGATAAACAGATTTAATATCTGTCTGCTCTCACATAGAACTGATTTATAGTTAATATTTACATTTTTAGATGTTCCTTTAGCATACACTCAACATTTTCCACATTGAATTACCTACTTTGCTGTAAACCACATGGTTCTTATTGGGGGTAATTTTGCCTTCCAGGACACATTTAGCAATGACTGTAGACAGTTTGGTTGTTACAACTGGAAGGGAAGGATGATAGTAAACGGGCATCTAGTGGGTAGAGGCTAGGGATGCTGCTAAACGTCTTCCAGTGCACACGGCACAGAGCAGCCTCTTACAACAAATGTTTATCTGATCCAAAATGTAAGTGATGGCAAGGTCAAGAAACGCTGCTGTAAACTGATCAGTTTTAAACTGCAGTATTCATTTTTTTGTTAATAGCACTACTGCTCTTAATATTTTGCAGGGTATTTGTGTGTGTGTGTGTGTGAGTGGGAGCAAGAGAAAATACTGTTTCAATCAACCAGTTACCAAAGCATGTTTCCACCATTTTGTGTTCTTTTCTGCAGTGACCTTCTAGTTACTCTTTTCCATAGTATCATTCCCTTGTTCTCATCTCCTTTCAATCTTACTTACATATCCCTAATTTGACCATCTTGAAATACTGTTTCTCCCATCAAGAACTGGCTTTTATTGCCTGCTGAATCAAATATAAAGAATTCTAGATGGCTTCAAAATTTTCCAGAATGTGACTCCATAATTTAGTTATTCTTGTTAGTCAACATTTATTTTTGTTTCTTTTAGTTAAATTCAGCTGACAGGGAGAAGCATTTATTAAAGTGGTGACTATGTGAGGACTACGGAGATAGGTGCCAGGGATTCAAAGACATGTCAACATTTTCCCCCTATCCAGTTGATTATTTCCCAATAACGTCTGTAATATTCCTTATTATTCTTATTTTTATTTATTTATTTATTTTCGAGATGGAGTTTCGCTCTTGTTGCCCAGGCTGCAGTGCAGTGGCACGATCTTGGCTCACTGCAACCTCCATCCCCACCCCGGGTTCAAGAGATTCTCCTGCCTCAGCCTCCTGAGTAGGTGGAATTACAGGCGTGCACCACCACACCCAGCTAATTTTGTATTTTTAGTAGAGACGGGGTGTCTCCATATTGGTCAGGCTGGTCTCGGACTGCTGACCTCAAGTGATCTGCCCGCCTCAGCCTCCCAAAGTGCTGGGATTACAGGCGTGAGCCACGGCGCCCAGCCAGATGTCCTCCTTTCTTACCCTGTTCTTAGCTAAATTCTATCCTCAAGGCCAGTTTCACTCTGCCTCATCTCATCACGAGCACTGCATGTGTATGAGGATTTTAAAGCCTTATAGTAATTGTCTGTTGGTCCCATTACTATATTTAAGGAATGATGTAGATCCCAAACATTATAAGATTCACATGAAGAAACAAATTCCAAGAACTGGGACCATAAAGGATGGAAGAGATGGAACTTAAGTTTGTTTCTTTTGTAGCTGGGACTTCAGGTGTGCCCCACTATGCCCAGCTAATTTTTTAATTTTTTGTAAAATTTTTTGTCTCACTTTATTGGCCACCCACCATCTCTCCCTATCTCTGCCCTTTAGGCAGCAGCAATACTCAACATAAATATCTGTTCTTGAACTCCTGGGCTCAAGCAGTCCTCCCACCTTGGCCTCCCAGAGTGTTGGGATTATAGCTGTGAGGCACCACGCCCAGTCAGTGCACTGCTTTTTGCCTGGAAAAAGTCTTGCTACTACTGTAAAAAGGTCAGTGTGCTTAACTAATCTACATTCTGTCACAAACTTCTTATTTTATCACAAACTGATAACAAACAGTTCCCTAATCAGCACTGGTCATTGGACCATACTTGGAGTTACATTGCAGTAGTGTGAGACTTCCATACTTATATTTTAAAATTGTCACCTATATTAAGAAATACATTTTACATTTTCATCCAGTGTTACATCATATACACATGTACATAACTGAAACAATTTTATGAAACAGTACCTAACCTTACTATGTGTGACATAGTCTGATGTTTACTATTTTTTTTAATGCTGATCATGACCTTCTAATGGATTTTAAAAACACTGCCCTCAAGCATTTAGCATAGTGCTAGAGACATAGTAGTTGCTCAGAAAATACCATACATTTTAGCAGTGATTAAATCTTGAGAGGGTTGAGCCTTCTTAATACTTGAGGATTATTTTAAAATGTTATTTCATCGGCCAGGCGCGATGGCTCACGCCTGTAATTCCAGCACTTTGGGAGGCCAAGGAGAGTGGATCACCTGAGGTCAGGAGTTCGAGACCAGCCCGGCCAACATGGAGAAACCCTGTCTCTACTAAAATACAAAAATCAACCAGGCATGGTGGCAGGGTGCCTGTAATCCCAGTTACTCGGGAGGCTGAGGCAGGAGAATTGCTTGAATCTGGGAGGTGGAGGTTGCAGTGAGCCAAGTTCATGCCACTGCACTCCAGCTTGGGCGACAGAGTGAGACTCCGTCTCAAAAAAAAAAAAAAAGTTATTTAATCAATACTTAGTTGTTTGTGGCACATTACATAGAATGAGTGTAGAGTGGATTATGAGATTTAAGACAGCAAGAAGATACTTACGTTGAGTATTGTTGCTGCCTAAGGGCAGAAATAGGGAGAGATGGTGGGTGGCCAAGAAAGACAACTTTTGCTTTCCTTTCGATGTTGCCAGAGACCTTGGGAGTTGCTGGTGTGAAGCCCTGCTTAAAATCAGGACCAGTTTGAATGACTGCAAACCTCAATTTTCACTTTTTACCTTTTAGTCTTCACTTTGTGGTTCCAGTCATTAATCCCTACTCTTTCTCTTAGAAAGGAGCAGAAGGATGTCAGAGAAAGAACATTTTCTCTTTATTAACTCATTTTCAACACTTGGGTTTCACTTTTGGAGCACTGCTGTTTGACTAAGGCTGAAGTTCTTTATCTTTGTCAGGTTTACACGTCTTAAGAATTTTTATTTTTTGTTGTTTATTTTTTGCATGTTAATTTTTCTTACATATACATTTTTTTTTTTCACTTGCAATCCTTTTTGAAGCATACTTTTTTTTTTTTTTAAGACAGAGTCTTCCTCTGTCGCCCATGTTGGAATGTAGTGGTGCGATCTTGGCTCACTGCAACCTCCACTTCCCGGGTTCAAGCAATTCTCCTGCCTCAGCCTCCTGAATAGCTGGGATTACAGGTGTGCACCACCACACCTGGGTAATTTTTGTATTTTTAGTAGAGATGAGGTTTCACCATGTTGGCCAGGCTGGTCTTGAACTCCTGACCTCAAGCGATCCACCTGCCTCGGCCTCCCAAAGTGCTGGGATTACAGGCGTGAGCCACCGTACCCAGCTACGTAAGATAATTTTAATGCATTGTATGTTATGGTTTGTCCTAGATCTAAACAAATAAATTCTGCAAATTATTTGACTTCTGTAGTTAATGCACATTTCTGTATAAGTATCAATGGGTTTGCTGTTGCTGCTGCTCTTTTATTTTTTTTTAAACGATGCAGCCAAAATAAGGAAATTGAGTTCATTCAGTCATTCTAGTCTAATATATTTTATGTCTGTCTATAGATTTCTTTAATGGCAAAATGCAGCAGAATGACTTATCAAAAATGTAACATGTTAAATTCACATAGATTTAGGTTGGATACACAGCCTTCTGTATCCGTGAATTCTAACAATGGCAGATTGGAAATATTTTTTAAAAATAATTGCATCTGTACTGAACCATGTACAGAGTTTTTTCTTGTCATTATTCCCTAACCAATATAATATAACTGTTTATATAACATTTACATTGTATTAGATATTATAAGTAATCTTGAGATGATTTAAAGTAAGGTTATATGCAAATCTTATACCATTTTATATCAGGGATTTGAGCATCTGCAGATTTTTGGTACTTGTGGGAAAAGTCCTGGAACCACTCGCCTACAGATACTGAGGAATTACTTATATGTTTTGCTTTCTCACTTGATTAGGGGAAAATACCCTTTACCTTCTGTTTGACTTCTGCAGAAATGTGTGTGACTGTAGAGGCTCAAATAGCGTATTAAAACAATGCTGAAAATATTTTTAACACTAGGCATCATTAACTGACTGTATAACTTACATGATTTTGTTAATAAAAATAGAAACAACTATGGGTTTTTAATGGACTTTAGACATTATCAGAGAAGATTGTTACTTATTTGAACTCTTTCCAAAAATCAAATGGAAGATTTGGGACAGAAAAGGAAGCTTTTAAAAAGTACAGTCTTTCTCCTAGAAACCCTTGCTAAAATCTTTGGTGACATCGTAATCTTATCCCTGTACTTTCCCTCCTTGTGTCTAATCATTTGCCAAGTTCTGTCATTCTACCTTTGCAGTGTCTCTTGTATCTGCTTCCTCTATTCCATCTCTACTGCCCTAATTCTAACCTTCATCATCTTTCCCTAGGATCATTATAATAGATAACTAGTCTTTTCCCTATCTAGTTTGTCACTGCCTAACTTTATACTCTTCTTAGTTTCAATCACTTACCTCCCTACTTCAGAGCCCTGCTATCTTTAGAAAACAAAGTAAATGCTTTAGTAACATTCAAGCCTTCCGTTACCTATTCCAAGTCTATTTTTTTTCCCCCACTGCCTTGTTGATCCTTGTTCATTCTGTGTAGTGGCTGATTCCTAAAGATGTTCTTTACTTTCTTTTCTTCATCCTGCTCTTCATCTCTTTGAAAAACCTTCCCCCACCAAGACTCACATCAAATATTGTCTCTTTGATGATGACTTCCAGGATCCTTCTAGTCATACTTAATCTTCTGTCTTGATTTTTCTTATACTGTAATATTTGTAACTCTATAGTTTGATATACTATGTTGTATTACTACTGCTTACAACTTTCTCTTCCACGTTAGTTTTTTAAACTTTGTTGGGTTTTTTGTTTTGTTTTTGAGACGGAGTCTCACTCTGTTGCTCAGGCTGGAGTGCAGTGGCGCAATCTTGGCTCACTGCAACCTCCACCCACCAGGTTCAGGTGATTCTCCTGCCTTAGCCTCCCGAGTAGCTGTGATTACAGGCATGCACTACCATGCCTGGCTAATTTTTGTATTTTTAGTAGAGATAAATTTTTATATTCACCATGTTGGCCAGGCTGGACTTGAACTCCTGACCTCAAGTGATCTGTCTGCCTTGGCCTCCCAAAGTGCTGGGATTACAGGCGTGAGCCACCATGCCTGGCCCCAATGTTCCAAGTCTTTTTTTTTTAATCAATATGTTTTTTTAAATGTATATTTTTTTGTTAGTTGCTTGTTTAACCCATAACTTCCTAACTTTTACATCTCTTTTTTTTTTTTTTTTTTTTTTGAGACGGAGTCTCGCTCTGGAGTGCAGTGGCCGGATCTCAGCTCACTGCAAGCTCTGCCTCCGGGTTCACACCATTCTCCTGCCTCAGCCTCCCGAGTAGCTGGGACTACAGGCGCCCGCCACCTCACCCGGCTAGTTTTTTGTATTTTTTAGTAGAGACGGGGTGTCACTGTGTTAGCCAGGGTGGTCTCGATCTCCTGAACTCGTGATCCGCCCGTCTCGGCCTCCCAAAGTGCTGGGATTACAGGCTTGAGCCACCACGCCCGGCCCAACTTTTACATCTCTCTGGGTACTTTCTTCATATTTATGTATGTTGCATTGCTTTACTCATGTTGGCATTGTTATGCTTATTTTATTTCTTTCTTTAAAACTTTAAGTACATTACATATATTCTTTTATATGTTATAAAGCATGATACTAAAATGATCACCTGTGCACATACTACCCAGTTTGAGAAATAGAACCTTGCTGTACCCCTGAAGCTCCTTATATGTGTCTCCCTGATTACAACTCTCCCTCTCCCAAGAAATATAATGTTGTGTTTATCATTTTCTGTTTGTCTTTATAGTTTTACCTCGTTTATATCATTAAGCAATATATTGTTCAATTCAGTTTGATTTTTAAACTTTATATAGAGTATCATATTACACATATTCTTGGTTTTTCATTCAACGTTGTGGGGAATGGGCAGGAGATAATGAGGTGGTAAGGCGGAGAGGGTATGTTTTCTGGTTAAACTATTTTTTCTTGGAGAATCAGAGACCATACCTTGTATACCCCTTTAATACCTCTCTTTAACACGAGGCCTACTGTTGCAAGTTAAGTCTCCTGATGATTTACGCTGACATTGAAACAATGCTGTTGTCTCTATAAGTATGAGGAAACCCAGGGGAACCCTGTCATACTCTTTCCTTATTGGATGCTCTTTGCAGGTTTGATGAATTGTTGATGAATTAGATACCTCGCTAGAAGGACGTATTTGATATCAGTTGACCCATTTGGGTGTGACAGTGTGGTCCAGAGACCTTTTCTCCCCTATCACTACAGCTTTAGACACAGGACCCAGGGTGGATGGTAAAGTATAGAAAATGTTTGTATATTAGATCATTGTTTCTAAATGCATAGATCTGAAAGTACAAATTAAAGTGTTTGGTTCAACATGTGTTTATAGATACCTGGAGCAAGTATAGATAGAAAAAAAGTGAAAATGATAAAAATGCAATATTCAGAGAACAAAATGGTTTGGTGACTAAGACAGTGGATTCATGTGCACAGGGTTAAAAGGGATGAGTACCAATGAATCACAAAGTATTAATATTTAATATAAAATGTTACTAGAATTAAAGCAAATTGGGATGCTTTTGGAATTTCCATAAGTGAGCAGAGGCCTCCCCATACCCTGCTCCAAGTTGTACCTTACTTAGCTTTTTACAATTAGATGTTCATTGATATCCATTTGTTTAATAATAGTGAATGGATAGAATGAAGATTATTAAGAGAGTGGAAAGAAGTAGCCAGACATGGTGGCTCACACCTATAACCCCAGCACTTTGGGAGGCCAAGGCAGATCACTTAAGGCCAGGAATTTGAGACCAGCCTGGCCAATATGATGAAACTGCATATCTACTGAAAACACAAAAACCAGCTGGGGCATGGTGGTGAACACCTGGAATTCCAGCTACTCAGGAGGCTTAGGTAGGAGGATTGCTTGAACTCAGGAGGTGGATGTTACAGTAAGCCGAGATCGTGCCATTGCACTCCAGCCAGGGTGACAGAGTGAGACCCTATCTCAAAAAAAAAAAAAAAAAAAAAGAGGAAGAAATCACTTAAAAAAATAAATAAACGGGTATCGTCAATGAGCAAAGAGAAATGTTTCTAGATAAAAATTCCATCTATACATTAATGCTATTTTAACAGAAGAAACACGTAAAAACTTTTATTATTCTTACCGCTAGTTCCTTTGACAGGTAAGATTCCCAACTCTTAAAGCAAAATGATACAAAAAGTAATTCATTTGGTTAATTAAAATTTGAAAAAAATTATTAAATTGTTCACTCATGTTCTGCGTATCTTAAACTCCTGAAATAGATATTGTAAATAATTTAAAATTAACCTTGTTAGCAAAGGATACGGTTTAGGAGTTTTATTTTTTTAAACTGCTCACTTGTTTTATTGTTAATGAGGAAAATTAGTATAATTATTTGTATTTCTTTCAGAAAAGAACTACTTTTAAGGAAATATAGCATCCATTGTGAAAGGGGAAAAGTAAAGATAATTCATCATGCCTGCTGTGGCTTCAGTTCCTAAAGAACTCTACCTCAGTTCTTCACTAAAAGACCTCAATAAGAAGACGGAAGTTAAACCAGAGAAAATAAGCACTAAGAGGTATGATGTATCCTTTGCTAGTTTGATTGAATCAAATATTATTAATTTTTAGTTCATTTCCATATTAAAGTTAGATGAATGTTAATTTAAAGTTTATTTGAAAATAACACCATCACACGAATAAAATAAGACCTCCTTAGAGAAGGTCTTAATGTAATTGTAGCACAATACATACATATTCTGCTCATATGCATATTATCTACTCTCCAGACAGATCATACAGATATGACCTCTAGGTCATAAAGTTTAAGAGGCTAAGATTATGAAGCTTCTAAAAAAAAAATATTCAGCCACAAGTCATTGTCTTTTCATAACACGATATAAAAATAATTCCTTTTTGGCCGGGTATGGTGGCTCAGGCCTGTAATCCCAGCACTTTGGGAGGCCAAGGTAGGCGGATCACCTGAGGTCAGGAGTTCCAGACCAGCCTGGCTAACATGGTGAAACCCCATTTCTACTAAAAATACAAAAAATTAGCCAGGCATGGTGGCACACACCTGTAATCCCAGCAACTCGGGAGACTGAGGCAAGAGAATCGCTTGAACCCGGGAGGCGGAGGTTGCAGTGAGCTGAGATTGTGCCATCGCACTCCAGCTTGGGCAGTAAGAGCGAAACTCTGTCTCAAAAATAATCATAAATAATAATTTCTTTCTTTCTTTCTTTCTTTTTTTTTTTTGAGACATGGTCTGCTGTCTTGTGCAGGCAGAGGAGTGCAGTGGCGTGCTCATTGCTCATTGCTGCCTCGACTTCCTGGGCTTGAGTGATCCTCCTGGCTCAGCCTCCCAAGTAGCTAGGACCACATGCTTGTGCCCCAATGCCCAGATAATTTTTAAATTTCTTACAGAGATGGGGTCTCACCATGTTGCCCTGGCTGGTCTTGAATTCATGGCCTCAAGTGATCCTCCATGTCTTGGCCTCCCAAAGTGCTGGGATTGTAGGCGTGAGTCTCTGCACCTGGCCAGAGAATGATAGAAACTTTAAAGAAAGTCAGAACGGAAAATGCCAGAATGAACTGAATTTTGAAACGTTACTAAAGACAAAATGGGCGTTTAAAAAAGAGCTTTTGGGCTGGGCACGGTGGCTCACGCCTGTAATCCCAGCACTTTGGGAGGCTGAGGTGGGCAGATCACAAGGTCAGGAGATCAAGACCATCCTGGCTAACACAGTGAAACCTCGTCTCTACTAAAAATAAAATTTTAAAAAATTAGCCGGGCGTGGTGGCGGGTACCTGTAGTCCCAGCTACTCGGGAGGCTGAGGCAGGAGAATTGTTTGAACCTGGGAGGCGGAGCTTGCAGTGAGCTGAGATCATGCCACTGCACTCCAGCCTGGGTGACGGAGTGAGACTCCATCTCAAAAAATAATAATAAAAAAATAACTTTTGGCTGGGAACCATGGCTTACACCTCTAATCCCAGCACTTTGGGAGACTGAGGCAGGTGAATCATCTGAGGTCAGGAGTTTGAGACCAGTCTGGCCAACATGGTGAAACCACATCTTTACTAAAAATATAAAATTAGCCAGGCATGTGATTAGCTGTAATCACAGCTACTTGGAAGGCTGAGGCAAGAGAATCACTTGAACCTGGGAGGTGGAGGTTGCAGTGAGCTGAAGTTGCACCATTGCATTCCAGCCTGGGCAGCAGAGTAAGATTCTATTTCAAAAAAAAAAAAAAATATCTTTTGAGGCTGGGCATGGTGGTTCACGCCTGTAATCCTAGCACTTTGGGAGTCCAAGGTGGGCGGATCACCTGAGGTCAGGAGTTCGATACCAGCCTGGGCAACATGTGAAACCACATCTCTACTAAAAATACAAAAATTAACTTGGCATGGTGGCATGGGCCTGTAATCCCAGCTAGTGGGAGGCTGAGGGATCCCTGAGCCCTGGAAGCGGAGGTTGCAGCGAGTTGAGATTGCACCATTGCACTCCAGCCTGGGCGACAGAGTGAGACTCTGCCTCAAAATAAAATAAAATTAAATTAAAATAAAAAGATCTTTTGAAGGGCAGAAAGAGTAAGAGAGGGATTGGGCTATTTATCTTGCTAAGTTGGTAATGTTGATGGGGTAACAGAAAACAACTCTATTTAACTCCTGTTGAGTGATTTTCAAATGGGAAACAATGGGAAAGGTAAAGCCACCTTTAGATAGGACAATCCTTAAGGTCAGGCCTAAGACAGATGATTCCTTTCTAGCAATGTCTGGTTTACCTCTAGCACTACCCTTATCCCAGAGGAAGTGGTCTATATAAGTTGGTTGTATCCAAACTTGCATCTAACTTTTATCAATTCTGAAGTAGTGGAACCTAAATCATGAAATCTGCTTTATCAAGATCAGCGGTCCCCAACCTTTTTGGCACCAGAGACTGGTTTTGTGGAAGACAATTTTTCAATGTACCAGGGTTAGGGAGGATGGTTTTGGGATGAGTCAGGTGCACTAGATTTATTGTGCACTTTATGTCTATTATTATTACACTGTAATGTATGATGAAATAATTATACAACTCACCATAATGTTGAATCAGTGATATCCCTGAGCTTGTTTTCTTGCAACTGGACCATCACATCTGGGGTGATGGGAGACAGTGACAGATCATCAGGCCTTAGATTCTCATAAAGAATGCACAACCTTGGCCGGGCATGGTGGCTCACACTTGTAATCCCAGTACTTTGGGAGGCCGAGATGAGAGGATCACTTGAGGTCAGGAGTTTGAGACCAGCCTCACGAGCATGGTGAAACCTTTGTCTCTATTGAAACTACAAAAATTAGCCGGGCATGGTGGTACATGCCTGTAATCCCAGCTACTTGGGAGGCTGAGGCAGGAGCATCACTTGAATCTGGGAGGCAGAGGTTGCAGTGAGCAGAGATCGCACCATTGTACTTCAGCCTGGGCAACAAGAGCTAGTCCCCGTCTCAAAAAAAAAAAAAAAAAAGAAAGAAAAAAGAGTGCACAACCTAGATCCCTCACATGTGCAGTTTACAACAGGGTTTGTGTTCCTATGAGAATCTAATGCCGCCACTGATCTGACAGGAGGCGGAGCTCAGGTGGCAATGCGAGCAATGGGGAGTGGCTGTAAATACAGATGACACTTTGCTGGCTAGCCCACCACTCATCTTCTGCTGTGTGTCCTGGTTCCTAACAGGCCATGAACCAGTACCAACCTGTGGCCCTGAGGTTGGGGACCCCTGATAAAGATTATCTGTGGACTTTGTATATGACCTGTATTTTTTTCCCAGATGTCAAGTACTTTAATTATTTTTTTTCTCTAATTTCAAGTTATGTGCACAGTGCCCTGAAGATCTTTAAGACAGCAGAAGAATGCAGATTAGATCGTGATGAGGAAAGGGCCTATGTGCTATATATGAAATACGTGACTGTTTATAATCTTATCAAAAAAAGACCTGATTTCAAGCAACAGCAGGTACCTTTTATTTTTGCATTGTTATTTCCTAAGTTATTTTGCATAATGGAGCTATTGATTTTTTTCTAAAAATTTTAAGTAATAATGAAATTTAGCTCAAATTATATGCAGCATCATCTCTCTCATGTAGATAGAAAAAGGAAACTAAAGATACAGTGTTATTATTTACAAATGTGTGTAATGTGTGAACTCGTGCATATTCTTGAATTTGCCATGGATTAGTACAAGTTTATAGCAACATACAGATTCATAATTTTTTTCTGAGGTAATTAATCATTGCTAGGTCAAGTAGAAGAATTGAGTTTGCTCATTAAGTAAGAAAACATGGCTGTTTTTTAAATAGTAGTTTTATTGTACTTTCTTAAGATTCAAGGTTTAGTCTCTTGTTTTTATGTGACAGCTTTTTATATATGACCGACATTGTAGCCATAGTAAAAATCTCAGTTTGCAAAATTGATACTGATCACTCCCTAAATCTTTTTTTCTTCTTTTGAGATGGAGTTTCACTCTTGTTGTCCAGGCTGGAATGCAATAGCGTGATCTCGGCTCACTACAAACTCTGCCTCCTGGGTTCAAATGATTCTCCTGCCTCAGCCTCCCGAGTAACCGGGATTACAGGCATGTGCCACCACGCCTGGGTAATTTTGTATTTTTGGTAGAGATGGGGTTTCTCCATGTTGGCCAGGCTGGTCTCGAACTCCCGACCTCAGGTGATCTGCCTGCCTCAGCCTCCCAAAGTGCTGGGATTAGAGGCATGAGCCACTGCGTCCAGCCCACTCCCCAAATCTTTAAACTTCTTTTTGCTTTTAATCCTATGAACAGGTGCTTGTCTTCCATTTGGCTGAAACCATGGATAGGGAGGGCAGGGGCAATATAAATGAAGAGAAAAAACTGATGACTAGGATAAGTGTTGATAGAGAAAATAGATATATTTCATTTGTATTAGAAACTAGCAAAAGAATACTGGGCGTGGTGGTTCACACCTGTAATCCCAGTACTTGGGAGGCCAAGGTAGGTGGATCACCTGAGATCAGGAGTTCGAGACCAGCCTGGCCAACATGGTGAAACTCTATCTCTACTATAAATAAAAAAACTAGCTGGGTGTAGTGGTGGGCGCCTGTAATCCAAGCTATTTGGGAGGCCGAGACAGGAAAACCGCTTGAACCTGGCAGGCAGAGGTTGCAGTGAGCCAAGATCGTACCATTGCACTCCAGCCTTGGGATAGAGAGAGACTCCATCTCAAAAAACAAACAAACAAACAAACAAAAAACAAACTAGCAAAAGAAGAATGTGAAGAATGTAGAGGCTCATTAAACAAATGTGAAGGATGTTGTGTTGCTGGGTTTACCTTTACTTAGAAACAATCTTACTGCCTGTCAATAGTAACAAAATACTGCCTGTAGATTTTTTACTTGGTAGAGAAGCCACTCTCAATTAATAATAAGATTTTATTTTGTTCTTTGGTTGTAGAAATTGGCTTGTATTATTTAAATTGACTTATTGAAATAACAAAATTTCTTTTTTTCTTTGATCTTTTTATTTATTTATTTATTTATTTTTTTATTTACTTTGAGATGGAGTCTCGCCCTGTCACCTAGGCTGAAGTACAGTGGCACGATCTTGGCTCACTGCAACCTCCGAGTCTCAGGTTCAAGCGATTCTCCTGCCTCAGCCTCCCGAGTAGCTGGATTACAGGCTCTCGCTACCACGCCCAGCTAATTTTTTTGTATCTTTAGTAGAGACAGAGTTTCACCACATTGGCCAGGCTGGTCTCGAACTCCTGACCTTGTGATCCGCCCCCTCCCCCCCCCAAAGTGCTGGGATTACAGGCATGATCCTGTGAGCCACTGTGCCTGTCCACTTATTTTTATTTTTAGAGGAGTGTGACTTTTGGTTGTTAAGAAATGACTTTAATATTTTATTTAATGGTGATAAATCATTGCTGGTGTTTCTTCTCATTAGCAAAGTTATTCTAATAATAGTTACTAGGTTTTTTTTGGGGTTTTTTTTGTTTTTGTTTTTGTTTTTGTTTTTGTTTTTGAGACGGAGTCTCGCTCTGCTGCCCAGACTGGAGTGCAGTGGCACAATCTCGGCTCACTGCAACCTTTGCCTCCCAGGTTCAAGCGGTTCTCCTGCCTCAGCCTCCCGAGTAGCAGGGACTACAGGTGTGCGCCACCATGCCCAGCTAATTTTTGTATTTTTAGTAGAGGTGGGATTCCACAGTATTGGCCAGGCTGGTCTCAAACTCCTGACCTCGTGATCCGCCTGTCTTTGCCTTCCAAAGTGCTGGGATTACAGGCTTGAGCCATCATGCCTGGCCAATTACTAGGTTTTTAGCTCTATCTTTGAAGAAGGGACCCCTTGCATTTGGAGGTTCGTTCATCTGTCCACAATGGTTGAATTAGTCCTGCTCTGGGAGAAATATTGTTTAACATTTTTGGACATAACTTATCTGCAGATAAGAGACAGAGGCCTTCCTAAATTCAAACAAGTTTTTGCACGGTCTATGAAATATGTTCAAGTAGCATTGCTTAAAACACAGTGTAAATGGTGCTCACTAAAGTAAATATTTTTGGAAGTCTTGAAATTTGGATAACTTTGGCAGTTTTGTTGTTTGCTGTTTTGTCTGTGTGGTAGGGTTTTTTTTTTTTTCTTTTTTTTTTTTTTTTGGTGACAGTCTCACTCTGTCGCCCAGGCTGGAATACAATGGCACGATCTTGGCTCACTGCAACCTCTGCCTCCCAAGTTCAAGCGATTCTCCTGCCTCAGCCTCCCGAGTAGCTGGGATTACAGGCACCCATCACCAAGCCTGGCCTAATTTTTGTATTTTTAGTAGAGACGGGGTTTCATCATGTTGGTCAGGCTGGTGTCAAACTCCTGACCCTGGGTGATCCACCTGCCTTGGCCTCCCAAAGTTTTTGTTTTTGTTTTTGTTTTTATGTTCTTGTTTACTTTTTGCTTTATTCTTGGAAGTTAATAGTTATGTTTTTTCTATGACAAGGTTGGGAATATTTTTGTAGCTACCTCTTTTTTTTTTCCTCTTCTTGAGAAGGTAGTGAGTACATTTAAATAGATGAGATGTTTCCATTTCCATAGAGTCTCTATTGCATTTCCAAAGGGAGTATCGAGGCAGAGAAGTTCAGGTTGAGAAGCTCTCTGCAAAGGCTCAGGTAACTTAGGCCATTATTTCATATGATTCAGTAGTTCAGTTCCTGTTTTTCAGAAAAATGATTATTTTCATTTGCTGTGTCCAGGGCGCTTCATCTGCTTCTGTCTTAGAACTGTTTTTTGTTTGTTCTGAGACAGAATCTCACTTCCGTCACCCAGGTTGAAGTGCAGTGGGCACAATCATGGCTCACTGCAGCCTCGACTTCTGCGCTCAGCTGATTCTCCCACCCCAGCCTCTAGAGTAGCTGGGAGTACAGACACACAACACCACACCTGACTAATTTTTAAATGTTTAGTAGAAACAAGGTCTTACCCTGTTGCCCAGGTTGGTCTCGAACCCCTGGGCTCAATTTATCTGCCTGCCTTGGCCTCCCAAAGTGCTGGGATTACAGGTGTGAGCCACCTTGCCTAGTTGCAGAACTGTTTTTTGTTGTATTTTCTGTAGCCCAGCCTCTCTAGTGTTCTTCAAGTATGTGAGGTGCTAAATTTACTAACAAGGTATTTTCTGTTTTTTACCCTTTAAATCAGGTAGGGACTGAATATATGTCATTGAACTTCCTTAGAAACTTGTATTTTCACTCTTATACTAGAAAATGTTTGAGATTTAGGCTAGGCACAGTGGCTCACCCCTGTAATCCCAACGCTTTGGGAGGCTGAGGCAGGCGGATCACTTGCGGTCAGGAGTTTGAGACCATCTTGGCCAACATGGTGAAACCCCATCTCGACTAAAAATACAAAAATTAGGGCGTGGTGGTGTGCATCTATAGTTCCAGCTACTCAGGATGCTGAGGCAGGGGAATCACTTGAACCTGGGAGGCGGATGTTGCAGTGAGTCAAGATAGCACCACTGCACTCCAGCCCGGGCGACAGAGTGAGAGTCTGTCTCAAAAAAAAAAAAAAAAAAAGGGGCACAGTGGCTCACGCCTGTAATCCTAGCACTTTGGGAGGCCGAGGCAGGTGGATTACAAGGTCAGGAGTTCACGACCAGCTTGGCCAACATGGTGAAACCCCGTCTCTACTAGAAATACATAAAAAAAAAAAGGGGCACAGTGGCTCACGCCTGTAATCCTAGCACTTTGGGAGGCCGAGGCAGGTGGATTACAAGGTCAGGAGTTCACGACCAGCCTGGCCAACATGGTGAAACCCCGTCTCTACTAGAAATACATAAAAAATGAGCCAGGTGTGGTGGCGGGCGCCTGTAATCCCAACTGCTTGGAAGGCCGAGGCAGGAGAATTGCTTGAACCTGGGAGGCAGAGGTTGCAGTGAGCCAAGATCACGCCACTGTACTCCAGCCTGGGCAACAGAGCAAGACTCCATCTCAAAAATAAAAAGAAAATTGAGATTTAGATAAAACATTAATTTAGCAAGCTCTCTCACTAGTAGAGAAGGACACTACATTTTATTACTTATCAAAAAATCAGCTTGTGAATAATTTTTTCAGGGTTATCTGAAAAAGCAGGGAAAGAAAATGTATTGAAAATATTAGTGTAGCAAATTCTAGATAAAATTAGAATTGTATTTTAACATTTTTATGACTTTCTTGAAAATTCTTAATATTTATTGGTAAGCCTATTTTTGTTTAGGATATCATGAAAGTTGTTTGAATCCATATGTTCAGGAGTCAGGAAAGTTCTGGTAAACCTGAGAAGCAAACATTTTTAGTTATGTAATAATTGGATGTTATCTTTTTCTTCTATTAAAATTTTGAAAGTATTTATACTTACTTTAACTGTGCTCCTTTAAGAGCACAGAGATACATAATTGACAGGAAACCTCACTAGTATTAGGGGAATATCTGGTAGTGTGTAACAGATATGCCCAAACATAAACAATGTTTTGTGTTTAAATAGGTTTAAGCTGGGCTTACAGGCTGGCTTTTTAGTGAGTTCATGTGTAAAAATGAATAAAACAAGTCATAGCATTTTTGGTTTTACTTTGCATTTTGTGTTTATTCAGAATGATTACATTATGATTTCTGTTAAATGGTTCTGTTAATGTAATGATTACATTCTACTTTCTGTTAAGAGATTGCATTAGTAGTCAGGACATAGTGCGCTAACTGAAATTATTGTAATGTTCAATTGATATGATATTGAACAAACTGCACACTTTTATTGGAATTACATAGTGAAGCGTCCTTCTAATATATTTAGGCTTTAGAAGAATCAACCAAAGAAAGCATGATCTACTTTTAGGCTAGATAGACATATGATAACTGTTATCAACAGACTTTTTTTGAGACAGGGTCTCACTCTGCTGCTCAGGCTGAAGTACAGTGGTACGATAATGGCTCACTAAAGCCTTGACCAAGCTATCCACCTGCTTTGGCCTCCCAAAGTGCTGGGATTACAAGTGTGAGCCACCTGGCCTGGCCATCAACAGATTTTTCTTCTTAAAAATAAGTCTTATGTTAACTGGGACACAAAAATTAAAACTTTTGCTATGTCATTCATATTCTGTTCTTGTGTTACCACATACTCTTTTGAAATTTAAAAAGTGTTTAGAATGATAGATTGTTGAGCACTGGTATATTGGATTAGAGCTCAGATCCAGTTTTTCTAAGTTATAATATTTGTAAATGTCTGGCAGTTTTCTTTAGAAAAATTTAATTTTTCATATGCGCCAGGTTGTATTGTGCTACTGGACACTGGTCTTATGGGAATGAATTATTTACTGTTAGTTTTTTTTGTTGTTTTGAAATGGAGTCTTGCTCTGTTGCCCAGACTGGAGTGCAGTGGCACGGTCTCTGCTCACTGCAACCTCCACTTCTCGTGTTCAAGCAATTCTCCTGTCTCAGCCTTCCAAGTTGCTGGGACTACAGGCACGTGCCACCACGCCTGGCTAATTTTCGTATTTTTAGTAGAAACGGGGGTTTGCCATGTTGGCCAGGTTAGTTTTGAACTCCTGACCTCAGGTGATCCACCCACCTCAGCCTCCCAATGTGCTAGGATTACATGTGTGAGCCACTGCACCCAGCCTACTGGTAGTTTTTTTGTTTTGTTTTGTTTTGTTTTCCTTTTTTCCCCCGTCCCGAGACAGAGTTTTACTCTTGTTGCCCAGGCTGGAGTACCATGGCACGATCTCAGCTCACTGCAACCTCCACCTCCTGGGTTCAGGCGATTCTCCTGCCTCAGCCTCCTGAGTAGCTGGGATTACAGGCACGCGCCAGCACGCCTGGCTAATTTTTGCGTTTTTAGTAGAGACAGGGTTTCCCCGTGTTGGTCAAGCTGGTCTCAAACTCCTGACCTCAGGTGATTCACCCGCCCTGGCCTCCCAAAGTGCTGGGATTACAGACGTGAGCCACGACACACAGCCTACTGTTAGTTTTGATCTGCCTAGTTACAGAAGTTATGTTATGTTTGTTTATTTGTATCATAAGTAATCTGTAAGTTATATCTATTTATATGGGCTGTTATATATGTTTATGTGGCTCCACCATTACAGCTCTTCATCACTGAGAGCCAAAGATGGGTACTTCTGAGCTACAACCCTTCTTTTTACAAATTATGATTATTATAATTTGTAATAAACTGTGCTAGTAGGCTCTATTTGCAAAGTCATATTGACATGTTGTGGCAAATCCTTGATCCAGGAGTCATTCAACTGACTTAACTAGCTACTGCCATGTCATACCAACCTTGATTTGAAAATATCTGATTGTAGTATCTAATGAGTGACCTCTTGGAGTAGTGATGTAAAAAAAAAGCAACAACTTCATTGTACTTGTCAGTAAATTATATGCCAAACCTTTTACCCTTTGCATGTTTTAAAGGTAGATTATAATTTTTTTTTTTTTTTCCAAGACAGAGTCTCGTTCTGTCACCCAGGCTGGAGTGCAGTGGTGCAATCTTGGCTCACTGCAACTTCCGCCTCCTGGGTTCAAGTGATTCTTCTGCCTCAGCTTCCCGAGTAGCTGGGATTACAGGCACGTACCACCATATCCAGCTGGTTTTTGTATTTTTAGTAGACATGGGGTTTCACCATGTTGGCCAGGCTGGTCTTGAACTCCTGTTCTCAAGTGATATGCCCGCCTTGGCCTCCCAAAGTTCTGGGATTATAGGTGTGAGCCACCGTGCCTGGCCTAGATTATACTATTAATTATTTATTTTCTATCATTTGGTTTTTTAGTTGCTCAGAGTTTCCTAATGTGTAAATGTACAGGTAAAGTACAGGTAGAAGCAAAAATATCTGTTTAGAACAAGTAAACAAAACAAATTTCATGTTGTATCTGTACACAGTTTGCTTCATTGTGAGACCAGAGGAAGAAAACTAGGTACATATTTTTAATAAGAAAAGATACTTTATTCTTGAAAGGTTTTTTTCTTTGGCACTTATAAATAACAAGAATGTTATTTATAGTTTTTAATGGTGACTTACAAATAAGTCAAATTTATGAACTAGTGGATCTTTTTAACTTACTAATGGTATGAAGACATACTTTTGAGACATTTGGAGAATAAATTATACGTGTGTATAGGTTAAAAGTTTTTAAAAATCTTCCATCGTAATAAAACAAACTTCCCTTTATATAAGCACCATGAGTTTAATGATTTTAGCACTAGTGTTACATGCAATGCCCAGTACTAACAATATGGGATGGTTTTCCTATAATTTTAGGATTATTTCCATTCAGTTCTTGGACCTGCAAACATCAAAAAAGCTGTTGAAGAAGCTGAAAGACTCTCTGAAAGCCTTAAACTAAGGTACAGATATTATGAAATACTTAAAATAATGTAAATTTAGAAGATAAAAATAATATTTAAGATTTACTGATTTATATCTGACAATTCGTATAATAGTCCAGTTTTTTTTTTTTAGACAGAGCCTTGCTCTGTCGCCCAGACTGAGGTGCAGTGGTGCGATCTCGGCTCGCTGCAAGCTCCCCTCCTGGGTTCACGCCATTCTCCTGCCTCAGGACTGCAGGTAGCTAGGACTGCAGGTGCCCACCACCACGCCCGGCTAAGTTTTTGTATTTTTAGTAGAGACGGGATTTCACCATGTTAGCCAGGATGGCCTTGATCTCCTGACCTTATGATCCACCTGCCTTGGCCTCCCAAAGTGCTGGGATTACAGGCGTGGGCCACCGCTCCTGGCCCCACTATTTCTGAGTTATAATATTGTAAGTTTCTGGCAGTATTCTTTAGAAAAATTTAATTCTTCATATGTTCTTTGGTGCATTCTGCTCCTGGACACTATGCTTATGGGAATGAAGTATTTACTGTTAGTTTTGATCTGCTTAGTTACAGAAGTTATTTAAATTAAAAAAAAAAAAAACTGATTCTGGTATTTGCCGTGACTTGCTTACAAGGTTTATAAAAATAATTACAAAACAAAAACAGTATGTTTCAGTTTTTAGTCATTAGTCTTTTTTTTTTTTTTTGTTTCACTCTTGTTTCCCAGGCTGGAGTGCAATGGTGTGATCTCAGCTCACCGCAACATTTACCTCTCGGGTTCAAGTGATTCTGCTGCCTCAGCCTCCCGAGTAGGTGGGATTACAGGCGTGTGCCACCATGCCCGGCTAATTTTGTATTTTTAGTAGAGACAAGGTTTCTCCATGTTGGTCAGGATGGTCTGGAACTCCCGACCTCCGGTGATCCGCCTACCTCGGCTTCCCAAAGTGCTGGGATTACAGGCATGAGCCACTGCACCCGGCCATTAGTCATTCTTTAAAATTTAAATTGTTTCCCTTATCAGCAACATAATGTTGTCATGGAGCTCCTAGTAGATAAATTTCTGCCTGTATCTGTAGCATAAAAAATGTTAATAGATAAAACCAAAAGCATTCTCAGCAATATAATACAGGAGAGAACAATGGAACTGGTTTTAAGTGATACAAGCTGCCAAAGCCTGGCTAGTGAAAAACGGCAAACTGAGAGATGTTTGATGCAAATAATAAATAGAAGGAGGAAACCAAAAGATTTAACCAGGGTGACATATTTCTTTCCTGGCTTGAATTTTTTTTTCACTAACAGTGTATCATATGTTACTTGTATTTAAAAATATTCTGACCAGGAGCAGTGGCTCAAGTCTATAATCCCTGCACCTTGGGAGGCCCAGGTGGCCGGATTACTTGAGGCCAGGAGTTTGTGACCAGCCTGGCCAATGTGGTAAAACCCTGTGTCTACTAAAAATACAAAAAAAGTGGCAGGCAGCTGTAATCCCAGCTACTCAGGAGACTGAGGCAGGAGAATCGCTTGAGCCCGGGAGGCAGAGGTTGCAGTGAACTGAGATCTTGCCACTGCACTTTAGCTTGGGTGACAGAGTGAGACTCCATCTCAAAAAAATAAAATAACTCTCAACTTATAAAGGAAGTCATCGAGAAAATGATTCATTATTTAGATATTTACTTTTTATGGCCTGATAGAATGGCTCATCTTTCAGTGTAATGAGGTCCCTGTTACTAAATAACTGCTGGGTCCTTTGCAATTCTAAGGCTTTTTAAATGTACTTTGAATTTTTCCTGTGTATAGGTTATTTTGCAGCTAGATGTGGAGAACCTTTTCACTCTGTTTTTCTCCCTGTCTGTCCTCTCCCAGCCTCCTGCCCCATGTTGGTGTCTTTCATGGACATTTAGAGCAACTCTGTGTGAACATATCTTCATATCTGTCCTGTCCTAATTCTGTAATAAGTCAACCACAGAGCTCTTTTCCTCCTTTAAGTCTCTGAAATCTGCATGACTAGGATTTCTCTCTTGTCAGGCTGGCAGTCTGAGAACGGGCATGAGGGTATATGCTCTCTAGGTTTGGAGAATAGATTATAGCTTTAAAGTGAAAGCCCTTAACATCTTGGGATAAATTTTCTGCTAAATTCTGCCCAGTCATCTGACGTCATGGTCTACGACCATGGAGGCGTGTGTGCCCAGCGGGGTCCGTGGCCCGCTGTCCCGTGTCCCAGGGGTGGCTGCACGGGCTCTGGGTGGCCACTATAGACATAGTCCCAGATTCTGAAAAAAACGCTTTAGCAAAAAGACCTAGAAAGTGGCTAGAAAACAGATTTCAATATCACCTGCCTTTAAGGAATACTTGTTAAGCATTTGTTTGCCTGTCCCATTTCTTATTATTGTCTTTTTTCATGGACACCTCTCATACCATAGACTTAATCCATTTCTGTTACATTCATGTTAGGGGAGGTCTTAGACGTAATTTTGACCAAGTCTGGAGGTATCAGAATCCTAGTAAAAGGGATTAAGCGGGTAAAATAATCACAAGTCAGTTTCAGAGAGCATGCCTTGCTCTCACTTCAGCTTACCAACTGAAGCTGCAAAGTAGGAGAGACATCAGCTCTAATTAAATTAGATTTATGGAGACTGTAGAACAAATGCAAGGTAGGCGGTAAGGTGTGGATAAGAGAAGAAAATAGGAAAAAAGAATCTTAAAGTTTTTTCATTTCTGCTCTCAAATTGGATTTAGGCTGACTGTGCTTACTTCTTAGGGCAGACAGTTCACATACTGTTCCAGCATAGAACACTGCTAGAGAAGAAATATAGAGCAGTAGGTAAGTGTACGGAGCCAGACTCCCTGGGTATGGATCCCAGTTTTTTTCTTATTAATTGTGTGAGCTTGGGCAAATTACTTAGCCTCCTTCTGCCTCAGTTTCCTCATCCATAACTAGGATAATCATAAAACCTACCTCATAGTGCATTAAGAAAATTAACATTTACAAACACTTAGATGGTGTCTGGCACATATCAAATACTCAGTAAGTGTTTGTACTATTTTCGTTGTTATTAATAGTGGAAGCATTCTTGTTCTGTAATAACTTTCGTCCTGGCATTCTAGTGATTTGCATTGAGGAGGCAAGGTAAAACAGTTGCATAATTTTGCTCTTTCACTTCTGTTTCTAACAGTGAAATGATGCTGGCATATGAGATAGACAGGAAAGTGGTGTTGATGTTTCCATAGAGATAATAGGGATACATGCTTGCTATTCTATGACCGAGTTCTTAACACAGTGCAGTAGAGAAGTGGGGGAAGTGAGCACACCAATAAGCAAGGTCCTGCTGGAGATTTGAGAATCCATTATCCCTGCGTATTGCCTAAGCAGATGGAATATGGTGAAACATCTGTTTTTGTAAAATTCTATCTGAAGTTATTCAGTTTTTCTTTTCTCCTCTCACATCTCTTGATGGGTTCATCATTCACTTTTGTTCCATTTATTTTATTTTAACACACTAATTTTCATAGATCTGTTGTTTTCCCAGTAGAACTTTATAATTTATTTTGAAATATTTTCTAATTTCCCTTTCTTCCTTGACCTGTGGATCATTTAGAAATGTGTTGTTTAATTTCCAAATATGTGGGATTCTTCTTATATCTTATTGATTTCTAATTTAATTTCATTGTGGCTAAAGACATTCAGTCCTTTTAAATGTATTCTTGTTTTATGGCTTGGCATGTGGTCTCTCGGTGAGTGTACCATGTGCACTTGCAAAGAAAATGTGGTTGTTGAATATACTGTTCTCTATATGTTATTCAGGTCAGAATGGCTGATAATGTTCAGATCTTCTTTGTCTTTCCTGATTGTGGGGTGGGGGTTCAAGTTGTAACAATTACTGAGAGAAAGGTGTTAAAATATTTAACTGTATCTATTTATGCCTTTAGTTCTCTCAGTTTTTGTTTCATGTATTTTGAAATTCTGTTTTTAGGAACATAAACATTTATGGCCCTTTTGGTTTCTTGATGAATTGACCTTTTTATCATTATGTCCCTCTTAACCTCTGGGAATACTTTTTTTTTTTTTTTTTTTGAGACAGGGTCTCACTCTGTCATGAAGGCTGGAGTCTAGTGGCATGATCTTGGCTCACTGCAACTTCCACCCCCAAGATCAAGCGATCTTCCCACCTCAGCCTCCCCACGTAGCTGGGACTACAGGCACACACCACCATACCTGGCTAATTTTTGTGTTTTTTGGTAGAGATGGAGTTTTACCATGTTAGCCAGGCTGGTCTTGAATTCCTGACTTCAGATGATCCGCCTGCCTTGGCCTCCCAAAGTGCTGGGATTACAGGCGTGAGCTGCCACACCCCGCCCTCATCTTCATTCTTACAGGATTCTATGTTGACAGGTTTTAATTTTCCCTTTTGTCACTTCAGAGCTGCTATTCCACTGTCTTCTGGCTTCCATTGTTTCTGATACTAAGCATTTTTTCTGCCTTATTTTCATGTTCTTGCTGGAATTCCAGCTATACATACGATAGGCTTTTTGATTTTGTCCAGTGAATCCCTAAGGCTTTGTTCTGTTTTGTTTTGTTTTAATCATTTTCTCTTTGTTTTTCAGATTGGATAATTTTCTTTTTTTTTTCAGACGCAGTCTCACTCTGTCTCACCCTGGCTGGAGTACAGTGGCACACGATCTTGGCTCACTGCAGCCTCCACCTCCCAGGTTCAAGCAGTTCTCCTATCTCAGCCTCCCAAGTAGCTGGGACTACAAGTGTGTGCCACACACCTGGCTAATTTTGTATTTCTACTAGAGGTGGGGGTTCACCATGTTGACGAGGCTGTTCTCAAACTCCTGACCTCAGGTGATCCATGCACCTCGGCCTCCCAAAGTGTTGGGATTATAGGCATGAGCCACCACGCCCAGCCTGGATTGAATAATTTTTATCACTCTTTCATCCTTTTTTTCTTTTGAGACAAGGTCTCACTCTGTTGCCCAGGCTGAAGTGCAGTGGCATGACCCTAGCTCACTGCATCCTCAAACTCCTGGGCTCAAGCAATCCCACTTCAGCCTCATAACATCAGTAGGACTACAGGCACACACCTCTGCTCCTGGCTAATTTTATATTTTATAGAGATGGGGTCTTACTATATTGCCCAGGCCAATTCTTCCTTCAAATACTGACTGTTTACTTTGTCATCTCCAATTTTCTATTGAGTGAATTTTTTTCAGTTACGTGTTTCAATTCTAGAATTTCTTCCTTTTTTTTTTTTTTGAGACAGAGTCTCACTCTGTTGTCCAGGTTGGAGTATATAGTGGCGTGAACACAGTTCACTGCAACCTCAGCTTCCTGACCTCAAGTGATTCTCTCACCTTCACCTCCTGAACAACTGGGACTACAGATGCACACCACCAGCCCAGTTAGTTTTTTTTGTGTTTTTTTGTAGAGACAGGGTTTCACCGTGTTTCCCAAGCTGGTCTCACGCTCTAGGCTCAAGCAGTCCTCCTACCAGGGCCTGCCAAAGTGTTAGGATTCTAGGCATGAGCCACTGCGCCCAGCCCAATTCTAGAATTTTGATGTGGTTCTTTTTTATAGTGTCTATTATTTTTTTGCAGAGATTTCCTATTTGTTCATTTATTGCAAGCACATTTTCATTTATGCCCTTGAGCATAGTTGTAACAGCTGCTCTAAAATCTTTGTATGTTAAATGCATCATCTTAGAGTCAGTATGCAGTGCCTTTTCTTTTGTTGTTGTCCTATTTTTCTTTTTTTGGTACTAGTAACTTTGGACATTGTGAATGATAAATTTATAGGCTCTGCACTCTTCTTTGGTCCTCTGGATAGTAGTCATTGTTGTCGTTGTTGTTGTTGTTTTGTCCCAATAAGCAGTTAACTTCGCTATACTCAAACGAAAAGTTTTCTGTCTTGTGTATGGTAAGTGGCAACTGACATTCTTTTCAATTCTTTTAGACTTAGCTGGTCGCCTTAGTATCTTTCCCAGGTGTGCTTAATTCAGGTGTCAGCTGGCAATTTGGGCAAGTCTATACAAAGAATTTGGAACTCTGGTTCTCTGGGATTGGGGTTTCTATTGGAATTTTAGCTGTTTTCAGCACTGAGGCCTGCCTTAGGTGTGAAACCATAAAAAATGGGAATCTTACTAATACCCTTCGTTTCTTTCAAGTGTCAACCCCATCTACTTTCTTCCTGATTATGACAGTTTTCCAATCCTTCAGGTAGTTGTAGGTCATCCAGAGGTTATAGTTGTGAGCGGTTCAGAACAATGGAAACTACTAAGCCATTACCAAAATTAGAATTCTCTCTCCTACCTTTATTTTTTAAAGGATAGCATTTTTAAAATAGTGTGTCATAATCACCATGTTCCTATCAATATTAGTGATCATTACAGTCAATGGAATAAATAACTCAGAAGGAATTGCTAAGCATAAAGATAGAAATTAACTTCTTAGGCCAGGCAGGGTGGCTCATGACTGTACTCCCAGCACTTTGGGAGGCCAAGGTAGACGGATCACGAGGTCAGGAGTTCAAGACCAGCCCAGCCAACATAGTGAAACCCCGTCTCTACTAAAAATACAAAAAAATTAGCGGGCCATGGTGGTGGGAGCTTAGAATCCTAGCTACTTGGGAGGTGGAGGCAAGGAGAAACACTTGAACCTGAGAGGTGGAGGTTGCAGTGAGCCGAGATCCCGCCACTGCACTCAAGCCCGGGTGACAGTATGAAACTGTCTCAAAAAAAAAAAAACAACAAAAAATTAACTGCTTAATGGCTGGACATGGTGGCTCACACCTGTAATCCCAGCACTTTGGAAGGCCAAGGAGGGTGAATCACCTTAGGCCAGGAGTTCAAGACCAGCTTGGTCAACATGGTGAGACCCCTTTTCTACTAAAAATGCAAAAATTAGCTGGGCACAGTGGCATGCGCCCGTAATCCCAGCTACTCAGGAGGCTGAGGCAGGAGAATTGCTTGAACCCAGAAGGTGGAGGTTGCAGTGAGCTGAGATCATGCCTTTGCACTCCAGCCTGGGCGACAGAGCAAGACTCCATCAAAAAAAAAAAAAAAAAAAAAGAAATTAACTGCTCAGATATTTAGAGGAGAAGCCCTATTTTCCTAATATTTCTTTCACTTGAGGAATAACACAGCTTTGTGTGACATGCTGATTTCTTCTACAAGAGCTAAAGATGTAATTCTTGTTCGGTGCATAATGATCTTATTGATAGATGGCACATTTTTGGTCACTATTAACATGATGTTGAAAATGTGTGGTACCAAATAATTTTGAGTTCAGAAGTCATCTTTAAAGTAAACTTAAAATTTTAAATATGTGAAGCTGGCACAATTCTTTGAATAGTCACCTTTTCTATATAGTTTTTTCTGTTTATTTAGAAATTTTTCATTTTGGAGTATTCACTCAAAAGAGCATATAAGGCTGGGTACGGTGACTCACACCTGTAATCCCAGCACTTTGGGAGGCCGAGACGGTTGAATCACCGGACATCAGGAGTTCAAGATCAGCCTGGCCAACATAGTGAAACCCTGTCTCTACTAAAAATACAAAAATTAGGTGGGTGTGGTGGCACACACCTGTAGTCCCAGCTACTTGGGAGGTTGAGGCAGGAGAATCGCTTGAACCCAGGAGGCAGAGGTTGCAGTGAGCCGAGATCACGCGACTGTACCCCAGCCTGGGTGACAGAGTGAGACTATGTCTCAAAAGAGAAAAAAAAAAACAAAAAACACAGCCAGCCACAGTGGCTCACACCTGTAATCCCAGCACTTTGGGCGGCTGAGGCAGGTGAGTCACCTGAGGTTAGGAGTTTGAGACAAGCCTGGCCACATGATGAAACCCTGTCTCTACTAAAAATACAAAAATTAGCCAGGCATGGTGGTGTGTGCCTGTAGTCCCAGCTACTCAGTAGTCTTGAGTCAGGAGAATTACTTGAACCTGGGAGATGGAGGTTGCAGTGAACTGAGATTGCGCCAATGCACTCCATCCTAGGCGACAGTGAAACTCTGTCTCAAAAAAAAAGAAAGAAAAGAAAAAAAGAGCATATAAAATGTAAAGATACAATGAAGAATAATAAAATGGAAACTATTGATTCATCTTTTACTAATTATTGACCCTAGTCAATTATTTATTTATTTTTTTCCTTGTTCTGTCTTCTCTCTCTCTGTCTTTAAATTTGAAACTCACAGGCATTGCCGAGCATTGATAATTAGGGCAAACAAGATTGCAGGTCTATGGTAACATACAGTCTGTCCTGGCAATAATAGCAAACATTGCCATTCATTCATTCATTTATTTATTTAGAGATGGAATCTCACTCTGTTACCCAGGCTGGAGTGCAGTCACATGATCTTGGCTCACTGCATCCTCTGCCTTCCCAGTTCAAGTGATTCTCCTGCCTCAGCCTCCCAAGTAGCTGGGATTACAGATATGCGCCACCACACCTGGCTAATTTTGTATTTTTAGTAGTGATGGGGTTTCACCATGTTGGTCAGGCTGGTCTCGAACTCCTGACCTCACATGATCCACCTGCCTTGGCCTCCCAAAGTCCTGGGATTGCAGATGTGAGCCACCGCACTCAGCCACCTATAATTTAGTAGGGAATAGTTCTAAATTCCTTGGATATCTGCTAACTGTAGTTCAGATAACTGTTTAACTGCCAACAAGTTGGAAATTTCAGTGAAGTCATCCTTTAAAAAAACGTAACTTGGGACTTTGGTAATACTTTCCACTGCTTTTTGAATGCTCCTTTTTACAGTTTTATCCTAAATTATAAAGTAAGTGTGATATTTGGGCTGTTTCTTTTGCCGAAAGAATTAGGACTTTTTCTTTGAAAAGCAAATTGCAGCAGATTTGAATCAGTATAAAAGGTTGAAATTAGTAGGAGAGAAAGCAAAAAGGACTAAATAACTTCAACTTGAGAACATACAGTTTTTTTTTAAGAGTTCTGGGCAATTTGAAGTAAATCCACAGATGACCTCAGGCGGCAGATGTGTGAATTGTGGTGGAGGGAGAAAGCATGTAGCCATGAAATAACTCAAGGCAGGATACTAATTTTACAGAACTGAAACTCTGATTTCCACAATTAACGCCAATAAAAGACAATCTTGACTTATTTTTTCAACTAGATATGAAGAAGCCGAAGTCCGGAAAAAACTTGAGGAAAAGGACAGGCAGGAGGAAGCACAGCGGCTACAACAGAAAAGACAGGAAACAGGAAGAGAGGATGGTGGCACGTTGGCTAAAGGTTCTTTGGAGAATGTATTGGATTCCAAAGACAAAACCCAAAAGGTATTTCAAATTTAATGTGAGTTAAAAGACCATTTCTGCTTATCAGATGATTTGCTTAAAAAGAGTTGAGATACCACTATAAAGTTCTTTTAGGCAACAAGGATAAAATTTAATGTTTTAATTAGAAATTTATTTAAGGCTGGGCATGGTGGCTCACGCCTGTAATCCCAGCACTTTGGGAGGCCGAGGCAAGCAGATCACCTGAGGCCAGGAGCTTGAAACCAGCCTGGCCAACGTAGTGAAACCCGATGTCTACTAAAAATACAAAAGTTAGCTGGATGTGGTGGCGTGCGCCTGTAGTCCCAGCTACTAGAGAGGCTGAGGTGAGAGAATCGCTTGAACCCAGGAGGTAAAGGCTGCAGTGAGCCGAGATCGTACCATTGCACTCCAGCCTGGGCAACAGAGCAACTCTGTCTCAAAAAAAAGAAAATAATTTGAATTAAATATTCTAGCCTCAGTTGACTTCAGATTTTTCTATGAATTTCTGTAGCAATATTTTCTGGGCATTAATTCGTTTTTTAGCAGACATTATAAACTTAATTAGAGCAATAGAAAGATCATTTGAGCTGAGCTGTGATTTATTATATCTGCATCTGGTCCTGTGTCAAAACTTTTTTAACCACTCTGGGACTGTTTTCTTGTTTCCCAAATTATAGTATGGAAATAGACGATTTTTAAGTTTCTTCTTTCTAATCATGTAATTTACATTAAAAGATTTAGTATACTACTTTGGTACCAAGGCTTTTATCTGTTTCTGAGGTCTCATTCTTTTCATTCTTTTTCCTTTGCTTTCTCCTCCTTTTTCTCCCCCAGTTTTCCCCTTTTTCTCTCTCTCTCTCTCTCTTTTTTTTTTTTTGAGACAGCCTCATTCTTGTCGCACAGGCTGGAGTGCAATGGCATGATCTTGGCTCACTGCAACTTCCACCTCCTGGGTTCAAGCGATTCTCCTGCCTCAGCTTCCCAAGTAGCTGGGATTACACCCGCCACCACACTCAGCTAATTTTTGTATTTTTAGTAGAGACAGGGTTTCACCATGTTGGCCAGGCTGGTCTCCAACTCCTGACCTCCAGTGATCTGCCCGCCTCAGCCTCCCAAAGTGCTGGGATTACAGACCTGAGCCACCGCGCCTGACTCTTTTTTTTTTTTGAGACAGAGTTTCACTCTGTTGCCCAGGCTGGAGTATAGTAGTGGGATCTCAGCTTGCTGCAACCTCTGCTTGCTGGGTTCAACTAAATCTCCTAGGCCTCAGCCTCCTGAGTAGCTGGGATTACAGGCACCCACGACTACCCCCAGCTAATTTTCGTATTTTTAGTAGAGATGGGGTTTCACCATGTTGGCCAGGCTGTTCTTGAACTTCTGACCTTAAGCAGTCTGCCCACCTTGGCCTCCCAAAGTGCTGAGATTACAGGAGTGAGCCACCGTGCCTGGCTTCTCTCCCATTTTTTCTCATCTGTTTAGTGACTACTTGTGGTCTTTTCAGCTACATCATCTCTTTGCCAAAAGCCATCAGTGACTTAGTCTGTAGCTGCCAGCTATCACTGTACCTCCCTTCCTTTACCTCCTCGGAAACTATCTTTCCTAAAATATAAGTTGAAATCCATGGGAAAATTTCTGCTTTGATTTTTTTCTTAGGCATTTTGTAGCTTTTAGTTATCATTCCGTGTGGATCATCATCCCTTTCATTAAAAAGTCATTGTTGCCTGGGTGTGGTGGTTCACACCTGTAATCCCAGCACTTTGGGAGGCCAATGTGGATGGGTCATTTGAGTCCAGGAGTTTGAGACCAGCCTGGGCAACATGGAAAAACCCCGTCTCTACAAACTTTTTTTTTTTTAAATGGAGTTTCACTCTTGTTGCCCAGGCTGGAGTGCAGTGGTGCAATCTCAGCTCACTGCAACCTCCACCTCCCGGGTTCAAGCGATTCTCCTCCCTCAGCCTTCCAAGTAACTGGAATTATAGGCATGCACCACCATGCCCGGCTAATTTTACATTTTTAGTAGAGACAAGGTTTCTCCATGTTGGTCAGGCTGGTCTTGAACTCCCAACCTCAGGTGACCCGCCCACCTTGGCCTCCCAAAGTGTTGGGATTACAGGGGTGAGCCACCATGCCTGGCCTCTACAAACATTTTTTTTAAAAAATTAGCCAGTTGTGGTAGTGCACACCTGTAGTCCCAGGTACTCAGGAGGCTGAGGTGGGAGGATCACTTGAGCCCAGGAGGTTCAGGCTGCAGTGATCATGCATCTGCACTCCAGCTTGAGCATTAGAGTGAGACCTTATCTCAAAAAAAAGGTCTAAGTGGGTCCTTTGTTTCCCCATCTGTAAAATGAGTTAGTACCTTACAGGATTATCCCATGTTGTCTTGGTTAAAAAATGTAAACTACATAGGCCGGGCACGGTGGCTCACGCCTATAATCCCAGCACTTTTGGAGGCTGAGGCAGGCGGATCACAAGGTTAAGAGATCAAGACTATCCTGGCCAACATGGCAAAACCCCATCTCTACTGAAAATACAAAAATTAGCTGGGCGTATAGCACGCGCCTGTAGTCCCAGCTACTCGGGAGGCTGAGGCAGGAGAATTGCTTGAATCCAGGAGGCGGAGGTGGCATTGCAATCCAGCCTGGCAACAGAGCGAGACTCCGTCTCAAAAAAAAAGAAAAAAGTAAACTACATAAGCAATACTTTGTATTAGTTCATTTTGCTTTAATTATGTGGTGGAGGACACTGAATTGGATAGCCAGAATTTTTGTTTAATTGTAAGAAGTACTTTCTAATCAAATTAAATATTAAATTTCTGTAGCAGTTTGTGCTGTTAAATTGTATTTGGTCTTTAAATGAAGTAAATTTTGAGGAAAAGTTCTGTGATTCTGAAAGGTTGCTAGTTATTTTAGTTGTTGTCTATTGCCAAAGAAATCTTTTATTATCATTATTATTCGTCCGCATTTTTATAAAAAGCCAGTACTCTGCACACTTCCTTTCTTAGAGTTTACGTTTAAGTGAAGTAAATGAAGTATTAAAGTTGAATTTTTCGTGTCTATGAAAGTTGAAACTTTTTTTTCCCCCTATTCAATAGAGCAATGGTGAAAAGAATGAAAAATGTGAGACCAAAGAGAAAGGTAAGTGTGTACAGAAAGAGGAAGTTGTCTTAGGTTCTGACTGAGATCTTTTAATCAGAATAAGCATCAGGTTTTATACAATGAGATTGTCAGCATTGTTGTCTAATCTCTGTGTAAGCTTCATCATTTTTCCTAGTCTGTCCAATTATACTGAAAATGTCTGAGGTTATTTTTATGTATTTATGGGGGATATTTTATGAATAATTTTAACCTTACATGTTAAACTGGTAATAGGCAGTTGAAAAATGTCAAAACCAAAGCTTGTACTTGTTTTCTTTTCAAGATGCAGTTTAGCAATAATGGCTAAGAGCATGGACTCTCAGTTTGAATACTGGCTCCCCCTCTCCCTTTCTGCGTAGTTTTCAGCATGTTACTTAAACGTTCTACCTTTGTTTCCCTGTCTGTAAAGTGGAGATAATATTAGTACTTATTTCATAGGGTTGTTGTGAGAGTTGAATGAACTAATATATGTAAATTCTTAGAATACATGGTAAACTTTAAGTAGGACTTATTATCATTTATGACTAGGTTGTAGATTTAATTTTTTCTCCCCACATCCATTCTGTGGTCAAAGACTAAATTATTTAAGAGTCATTTACCATCCCCCTTAAAAAAAAAATCCAGGCCAGGTGCAGTGGCTCATGCCTGTAATCCCAGCACTTTGGGAGACTCAAGCAGGAGGATTGCTTGAGCCCAGGAGTTCAAAACCAGCCTAGGTAACATGGTGAAACCCCTGTCTCTACAAAAAATACAAAAATTAGCTGGGTGTGGTGGTGCACGCCTGTAGTCCCATCTACTTAGGAGGTTAAGGTGGGAGAATTACTTGAGCCCAGGAGGTTGAGGCCTCAGTGAGCCGTGATCACACCACTATACTCCAGCCTGTGACAGTGAGACCCTGTCTCAACTCCAAACCAGTAATACGGAAGTTATCCATAGGTGGTGTTGACGCTCTAGTGACAGATATGTGATCTAAACAAGACAGCAAATTCTCTTCATCTACTAGAGACATTTTCCTCTCAGAAAAGGTTTACCTTGTCTACAGCCATACCACCTAATGCGCCTGATCTCAGAAGCTAAGTGGGATCGGGCCTGGTTAGTACTTGGATCAGAGAAAAGGCTGAATTTAAACATAATTATAGGTAATAGTAAAATCAATTCTGTACTTAAAATATTGCCATACAACAATTATAAAAATAAACTGAGTATGCTATAAGGTACTTCCCTAAAAGTTATTACTGATTCATTCCAAGATTAGTTTTTATGCATTCGTTCCTTTGTATGTCATCCTGCTTAAATGTCCTTCTCAGTGGTTTGTTATCAGCTTTTTTGGTCTGTTTTGTTAGCTTAACACTTGATGGCTAGAGATGGAAGGAGGATGATTATTAGCAGCTCTAGGTCTTTTAGCATAGGAGCTACTGAGACTACTTCTCACAGCTTACTGCTGAAACAGCTTTTTATATAATCTCAACTCTCTTGTAGTGCCTTTTAATCTTTCGCTTCAGTAGGGCTAAGGAAAAATAGTAACATAGGGAATATTTATTTTGACAGATTGCCGCCCTTCCCCAAAAGTAAATAAATTAAATATTGCATTAGCTTTACTTAGTTTCCTTTTTGTTAGCCTTCTTAGAAGGTAAAATAATCTTTTTTCCTTCTGGCTGGGAGCTAACAAATGAACATCAAGTAGAATGAGAATTGGCAAATTTTTCTTAAAGGGATAGATAGTAAACATTTTAGGCTTCGGGAACCTTATGGGGTTGGAGAGCCCTGTGGTCTCTGACACAACTATTGATCTCTGCTGTTGCCATATGAAAAAATGTGTAAACAAACTAGTGTGGCAGTGATCCTGTAAAAACAGATGGCCATAGTTTTCAACCTCCGGTGTGGAATAGCAAGCTTTTGACTTGTTATTCTAAGAATACTTGGATATCTAAGTTTTTCGAATAGCTACCATAAGACTGCCATCATAGACTTTTTGAATTTAGAACCTTTCCAGAATTTTAGAACCATAGATGTTTCTTTCTTCCAGTTAGCATTTTTCTAATGTCTAAATTTTTGAAAACATATTATTTTCCTAAGACACATATATTAACGTCCTTTATTTTATATTGGTAACAGAGTCAATACCAGATGTAGCTGTAAACTCAACAAAGTTTTGATTTTTAAGTCTTTATAAACAGAGCACTGAACTGGTTTCTTGATAAAATGTTAAAAACACAAGGCTGGGTGTGTGGTGGCTCACGCCTATAATCCCAGCACTTTGGGAGGCTGAGGTGGGTGGATCACTTGAGGTCAGGAGTTCCAGACCAGCCTAGTCAACATGGTGAAACCCCATATCTACTAAAACTACAAAAATTAGCCAGATGTGGTAACAGCCTATGTTCCTAGCTACTCAGGAGGCTGAGGCAGGAGAATCACTTGAACCTGGGAGGTGAGGTTGCAGTGAGCCAAGATCGTGCCACTGCTCTCCAGCCTGGGTTACAAAATGAGACCCTGTCTCAGGAAAAAAAACAAGTTATATTTAACGTTAGTTTACAAGATAATAAATGGTATGATTGGGTAGTAAATATATGGCATCCATATATATTCAGTATAATTTGCTCTTCTAGAAAAAGCTGTTTGTCCTATGTTTTGTGATGTCAGCACATCTTATGCTGTTTCTTGTCACTTATACTGTCTCTCTCAATTCCAAGGAGCAATCACAGCAAAGGAACTATACACAATGATGACGGATAAAAACATCAGCTTGATTATAATGGATGCTCGAAGAATGCAGGATTATCAGGATTCCTGTATTTTACATTCTCTCAGTGTTCCTGAAGAAGCCATCAGTCCAGGGTGGGTTACTGTGCAGTAAAGTAGTATGTTGTGTAGTAAGTAGTAAACTGTGGACCTTAGTAAATGTTACTACTTAGGATCCAAGCTAAATGTGATAAAGTAGTCTTTCCTGGTAACCTTTTAGATCTTTGCCTCTTTTTGTGTGTGGGAGTGGGGAGGGGGAGGTGCGTTTTAGGAGCAGAGGTTTAATAGGCAAAAGAAAGAGAAAGGAGAACAACTCTCTCACTTGGGAGAGTGAGGGGTGCCCAAATGGGACTTCCCTAAATCTTGGCTTTTTAAAGACACACTTGACCCTTTTTGAAGGTTGAAGTTACGGATTTGCTAACTTTTTATTTGGCTATTTTCTCCTGTTTGTGATATTTAGAGTCTTATCAAAAGACAAATGAAGTTGCCTTTTCCCTCTCTCCGCAAGTGTTTGTTAACTGATTTTTCCTGTTATTTTCTGTTTATAAGCATGTGAATCATATGTACCAAATTGATTAAAATTGTGAACTAATTGAATTGTTTTACATATTGAAATTCCCTATATTATCTGTGATAGAAGCTATACAAATACTTTGTGTGTGTGTGTGCTTAAGTTAAAAGAGTATAGTTTCTAATGCCAGACTCTATTCAAGTAACTATCACTTACTAATTGCATTATTACTAGCTAGTGACCTAACATTTCTAAGCTCATGTTTCCATCTGTAAAATGGGGATAATAGTAGAACCTATCTTACAGAGGTTTCAGGAGATTTAAATGAGAAACATTATATACACACACACACAGACTTTAGCACAGGTCCTGGCATGAGTAAGGACTTAATTTAAAATTTTTTCTTTCTTTTTTGGTAAGAAGGCCTTTAACCTATAAAATAATTTAAAGTGACTTGCATGGGTATATTGTATATTGGAAATCATGGCATAGTGGCAGAGCTAAACCTCCAGATACAGGGCTATTTTCACTATTTCTAGCATTCTTATATAGATCCTGTTACCTCTCTTGGTCTTGGTTTAAAATTATATATTTTTAAAATTAGATAATAAAATCTGTATAGTTCCTGGCATATTGTAGATGCTTGATAAATGTTTGACCTGAAGCATAGAGTGCTTTGTAAATAAGCTATTTAAAAATTAGAGCTCTTAGGCCAGGCGCAGTGGCTCACACCTGTAATCCCAGCACTGTGGGAGGCCGAGGCAGGTGGATCACTTGAGGTCAGGAGTTCCAGACCAGCCTGGCCAACATGGTGAAACCCCATCTCTATTAAAAATACTTTAGCCAGGAGTGGTGGCGGGCACCTATAATCCCAGCTACTTGGGAGGCTAAGGCAGGAGAATAGCATGAACTCGGGAGGCGGAGGTTACAGTGAGCCGAGATCACGCCACTGCACTCCAGCCTGGGCTACAGAGGGAGACTCCGTCTCATAAAAAAAAAAAAAAAAAAACTCTTTGAGAAAGACGCTGTCAAAGGTGGTGCTGAGCTGTGGTCAGCCCGCTCCTGCTCCTGCTCCTGCCGCACTGCTGTTGCTCTCGTTGAGGAACCAGTCGGTCCGGAAGCCACGCAGCACCCGTGGCGCTTAAAGATACTGGAAAAACACCCGGGGAGCTGGAGGTGGCAGTTCACTGATTTAGAATCACTTTTTATGAGCCGCAGCATAAAATCCCTGGAGAAGGTGTGTGTTGACTTGATCAGAGGAGCAAAGAACAAGAATCTCAAAGTGAAAGAACCAGTTCAAATGCCTACTAAGACTTTGAGAATCGCTACAAGAAAAACTCCTTTTGGTGACGGTTCTAAGACATGGGATCATTTCCAGATGAGAATCCACAAACAACTCATTAACTTGCACATCCATTCTGAGATTGTTAAGCAGATTACCTCCTTCAGTATTGAGTCAGGAGTTGAGGTGGAAGTTCCTATTGGAGATGCTTAAGTCAACTATTTTAATAAATTGATTACCAGTTGTTAAAAAAAGAAAAATTAGAGTGCTCAGTCTAATTAAACATGTGAATATATTCCCAGGATTTGAATAGACAAAGTTATAATTAGTCTTTGGGTAGTCTAATCTGTATTAATAGAGAGCTGGTGGTCTTTATTATTGAGTTTACATGGAAGTTTCCCAAAATGTGAGATTTGGACTACTATGAAACTCAAGATGATTTTAGGTTGAAGATTAAAGAACAATGAAATGCACACTGAGAAAATTATTCCCTTTTAATTTACGTTACAGTCCTTTTGAGTCAGTTTAAAGGAGTTTCAGTTTGGTGCTAGTACATCTTTTAAATACTTGCTTACCTCTCTAACTGAAGGGAAAAGGTCTCAGAGCTTTCTATAGGTAGCAATACCTACAACTAGCTGATGGTGATTACTGTATTTTTTCATTATCTATTTTTATTTATTTATTTTTGAGACAGGGTCTCACTCTGTGCCTGGGCTGGAGTGCAGTGGCATGATTACGGCTTACTGCAGCCTTGACCTCCTGGGTTCAGGTGATCTTCTCACCTCAGCCTCCTGGGTAGCTGGAACTGCAGGCACACGCCACCATGCCCAGCTAATTTTCGTATTTTTTGTGTAGAGACGGGGTTTTGCTGCATTGCCCAGACAGGTCTCAAACTCCTGGGCTCAAACGATCCTCCCACCATAGCCTCCCAGAGCGCTGGGATTATAGATGTGAGCCATTGCATGCGGCCTATCTCGTCTTAAAATTTTAAGCTTTTTATTTTATTGTATTTATTTTAAATTTTTAAATTTTAATTTAATTAAATTAATTAATTAATTTATTTATTTTTGAGGCAGAGTCTTGCCCTGTCACCCAGGCTGGAGTGCAATGGTGCGATCTCAGCCAACTGCAACCTCTGCCTCCTGGGTTCAAGAGATTCTTCTGCCTCAGCCCCGAGTAGCTGGGATTACAGGCACGCACCACCTTGCCCAGCTAATTTTTTAATTTTTAGTAGACACTGGGTTTCACCATGTTGGCCAGGCTGGTCTTGAGCTCCTGACCTCAAATGATCCACCTGCCTTGGCCTCTCAAAGTGCTGAGATTACAGGTGTGAGCCAGCCACTGTGCCCAGCTTGCCCCGCCCCCCTTTTTTGAGACAGGGTCTCGCTGTGTTGCTCAGGCTGGAGTGCAGTTGTACAATCTTGGCTCAGTGCAACCTCCGCCTCCCGGGTTCAATTGATCCTCATGTCTCATGTCTCAGCCTCCCAAGTGACTGGGATTATAGGTGTGCGCCACCACACCGGCTAATTTTTGTGTTTTCAGTAGAGACAGGTTTTCACTGTGTTGGCCAGGCTGGTCTTGAACTCCTGGCCTCAAGTGATCCACCCGCATCGTCTTCCCAAAGTGCTGAGATTACAGGTGTGAGCCACGGTGCCCAGCCTGTTTCTTTTTTAAACTTTTCTTTTAGGTTTGGTGGTACATGTGAAGGTTTGTTACATAGGTAAACGTGTCACAGGGGTTTGTTGTACATACATATTTTATCACCGAGGTATAAGCTCGGTACCCAATAGTTAAATCTTTTCTGCTCCTCTCCCTCCGCCTACACTCCCCCCTCAAGTAGACCCCAGTGTCTGTTGTTTCCTTCTTTGTGTTCTTAAGTTCTTACCATTTAGCTCCCATATTCTTAACTTTTAATACATTATAGTATATCTACCGAAGTACTCCTGTCCTAAGCATCTAGCCCAATGAATTTTCATTAACTGAATGCACCCACTTAATTAGCATCCACACCAAGAAACATAACGTTATCATCCCTCCTGAACCCAGTATACCTCCTGTAAGTTACTACCCGTATACTACTGCCCAAGGAAACCACAAACTTCTAATGGAATATATTTTTTGTCTGCTTTTGTACTTTATATAAATGGAATTTATAATATGTAGTCTTTTATATCTGTCTTCTATACTCAACCTATGTTTGTGACAGTCATCTCTGTTGTGTGTAGTTGTAGTTTGTTCATTCTCATTGCCATATGGTATTCTGTTGTGTGACTATAGCACAGTTTACTTAAATATTTTATTTATCTTCAGATGTACCTTTTACTTATTGGATATGATGCTGTTTTTTCATGTATTTAGGGCCATACAATTTCCTATTAAATTTATTTAAGTAAAAAAGTATTTTTTATTAAATTAATTAAATTTAATAAAGGACAAGTAGAGCAGAGTTAAAGCAAATTGGGAAGGTGGTACATAAAAGACAGAAGTTTGAGAAATGTTGGCGGATGCTGTCGTTTCCGAAAGTCTTTTCTGTAGAATACTAATCCTGAAAACAGTATTTAGGTAAATATACCCCAGGTTGGAAATAGTCTTTAAGAATATCACGTTTTATTTTTTTTCCTTCTTTGTTGACCAAGCATCCTTCTGATCTGTGTGTATCAGGAGAGGATATTATTAGACAATATTTTATATTTATTCTACTTCTTTACTTCCTAGAAGATACAGTAACAATATTATATAGGAAATGGATTTTAAAATTAAAATGATCTTAATTATTTGGTTTTACTTGTGGATAAAAGTTGTACCAGTCCTGCCCAGCTTGCCAATATCATCAGTTAAATATTGAAATGCCACTATATACTAAGTGCTTTGCTAAGAATAATATGGAGTTCCTTACCTAGAGGCGTGAATCTGTATTATTCACTCATTCAATTATTAAACCAATTTTTTTTTTTTTGAGATGGAGATCTTGCTCTGTCACCCAGGCTGGAATGCAGTGGCGTGATCTTGGCTCACTGCAACCTCCACCTCCCGGGTTCAAGCTATTCTCCTGCCTCAGCCTCCCGAGTAGCTGGGACTCCCATCATGCACCACCACTTCTAGCTAATTTTTGTATTTTTAATTAGAGACAGAGTTTCGCCATGTTGGCCAGGCTGGTCTCGAACTCCTGACCTCAGGTGATCCGCCTGTCTTGGCCTCCCAAAGGGCTGGGATTACAGGTGTGAGCCATCACGTCCAGCTGATAAAAACAGTATTCACTGAACACTTTCTATGGGCTGGGTTACTATGTTCTAAGTGCTGGGCTAAGCCATTGAACAGACAAAAAATTGTCTTTGGAGCTTTTAACAGAGAGATGAGATAGGTAAGACACACAATAAAAGCTTGCAGTGTTTAGCTTTTCTTATGTGGAGTGCCGTGGAAATGGGAATGTTGTGTGTGCGTATGCATGTGTGTGTGTTTAGAAAGGCCTCACAGAGAAGTTATTAGCAAATCTTGAAGAAATAAGGGAAATGAGTAATGCAGCTTATCTGGGGGAAGAGGATTCCAGACGGAAAAAGCAAGAGCAGGGGCCCTTAGGGAAGAGCATGCCTGGATGAACCAGGAATAACAAGGAAGCTAGTAGCTGGAGTGAGTAAAGGGGGCCAGTAGTTAGAGATGACGACGTTGAGCCTTGGGGGTGTATGTCTGTGGCACTGTGGCAGGCCATTGTAAGGACTTTAGCTTTTTTTTTTATTTCTTTTTTTTTTTTGATAATGGAGTCTCGCTCTTGGTCGCCCAGGCTGAAGTGCAGTGGCACAATCTTGGCTCACTGCAACCTCCACCTCCTGGGTTCAAGCAATTCTCCTGCTTCAGCCTCCTAAGTAGCTGGGATTACAGGTGCCTGCCACCATGCCCGGATAATTTTTGTATTTAGTAGAGATGGGGTTTTACCATGTCGGCCAGACTGGTCTTGAATTCCTGACGTCAGGTGATCCACCCTCCTCGGCCTCCCGAAGTGCTGGGGATTACAGGCATGAGCCACCACGCCCAGCCGGACTTCAGCTTTTATGTGAGCAAACGATGATGTGAACATTGTGCTTTAAGGTAGAGTTGGTGCTATTCACAGTTGACATTTTTAAGAGGCAGCATAGCAGAGAACATGTACATGAGCCAGATTGCCTGAATTTTAATTCTGGCTCCACTTGAGCGAGTCACTTAACCTGTTTGTGCCTCACTTTCCCCAAAATAGAAATAATAATGTTTGTCTTACAGGATTGTTGTGAAGACACAATGAGTTCAATGAGAATAAAGCATTTAGAACAGTATCTGGCACATGGTAAATGCTATATGTGTTTGTTGAATAAACATCCTGGTATATGGTGGACTATTATACAGGTATAAGAGAACTGAAATATGAATAATATTACCCAGTTTATATTTGGCTGAAAGAGGAGCTCAGATAATTTTCTCTGTTTTCAGTTTTGCTCCCCCCACTTTTTTTTAAAGGGTCAGAATGAAAAGAATTCAGTCTTCTTTTAGTCTCTAATAACTACTAAAACTATGTTCCAATATTATACAGTAGTGAAGGGGTTAAACATTTTAGGCTGTTTAATATCTTAATATATAATCTCACCTTAGAAAGAAATCTACTTAAAATTTGCTGTGGTGTGGTCAAGACTGTAGAACAAAACTGAGTGTCTTCTGTTAGTATATTAGGACCTCTTGTTGACTTTTGCCCCAATTTCAATGTTAATACATTTCAGAGTCACTGCTAGTTGGATTGAAGCTCACCTCCCAGATGATTCTAAAGACACATGGAAGAAGAGGGGGAATGTGGAGTATGTGGTACTTCTTGACTGGTTTAGTTCTGCCAAAGATTTACAGATTGGAACAGTTCTCCGGAGTCTGAAAGATGCACTTTTCAAGGTTTGCAAGTTTCATTGTTAGTTTATTGTAATTGCAGGGCACCTCTGGTTGTTAGAAAGGCATGTTAACTAGTTGTTTATCTTTAATACTGAAAGATTGATCATGCTTTTTTTTTTTTTTTTTTTTTTTTTTTTTTTGAGACTGAGTCTCACTTTGTTGCCCAAGTGGTAGTACAGTGGCGTGATCTCAGCTCACTGCAATCCTCTGCCTCCCGGGTTCAGGTGATTCTCATGCCTCAGCCTCCTGAGTAGCTGGGACTACAGGTGTGAGCCACCACACCCGGCTAATTTTTGTATTTTTAGTAGAGAGGGGGTTTCACCATGTTGGCTAGGCTGGTCTCAAACTCCTGACCTCAGGTGATCCACTTGCCTTGGCCTCCCAGAGTGCTAGGATTACAGGCTTGAGCAGCCGCTTTGATTGTAGAATTTTTTATAAATTCAGGTTTAAAAGATTTGTTTTGGCTGGGTGTGGTAAAATTAAAACTTAGGTGGGAAAAGATCTTATAAGATTACGAGGCAGGGCCAGGTGTGGTGGCTCACGCCTGTAATCCCGGCACTTTGGGAAGCTGAGGCAGGCCGATCACCTGAGGTTAGGGGTTCGAGACCAGCTTGACCAACGTAGAGAAACCTCGTCTCTACTAAAAACAAAAAATTAGTTGGGCATGGTGGTATGCGCCTGTAATCCCAGCTACTCAGGAGGCTGAGGTAGGAGAATCTCTTGAACCCGGGAGGCGGAGGTTGTGGTGAGCTAAGATCACACCATTGCACTCTAGCCTGGGCAACAAGAGCAAAACTCTGTCTCACACACACACAAAAAAAGATTACAAGGCAGAAGACAGGCAGAAATATTTACAACACACATGGCAGTGGTTTAAAATACCTGAAATCCAAAGAGCTTTTACAAATAAGAAAAATACTTAAGATAAAATAGTAAAATAAGTTGTGCACACAGATAGCCATGAACAGAAAGTGAAATGCAAGTGGACTTAACCATAAAAATGAGCAACTTTACTAGTATCAGATAAATGCATATTAAAGTGAGTGCCATTTTCACTGATCAAGTTAACAAAGGTTTAAAAAATAATACGGTTGTCCCTCAGTATCTGTGGGGGATTGGTGCTAGAACCCCCCACAAATACCAAAATCCATGGATAGTCAAGTTTCTTACATAAAATGGTATAGTATTTGCATATAAACTACACATATTCTCTCATATACTTTAAATCCTCTGTAGATTCCTTATAATAACTAATAAAAAGTGCTTTGTAAATAGTTGTTACACCATATTTGTTGGAGAATAGTGACAAGAAAAAAGTCTGTATATGCTCAGTACAGACATAACTATCATAGGCCTAACTATATATTTTTTAATTTATTTATGTTTTAATTTTAATTTTAATTTTTAGAGAGAAAGTTTTTCTCAGTCACCTAGACTTGAGTGCCATGGCACAATCATAGCTCACTGCAGCCTTGAACTCCTGGCTCAAGTGATCCCACTGCCTCAGCCTCCTGAGTAGCTAGGACTACAGGTGCACACCATGCCTGGCTAATTTTTAAAAATTTTCTAGTAGGGACAAGGTATTGCTATGTTGCCCAGGCTTGTCTCAAAGTCCTGGCTTCAAACATTCCTCCCACCTTGACCACCCAAAGTGTTGGGATTACAGGCATGCGCCACTGTGTTGGGCATCTAAGTATATTTTTTATTTTATTTTATTTATTTTATTTATTTATTTATTTTTTTTTTGAGATGGAGTCTCACTCTGTCACCCAGGCTGGAGTGCAGTGGTGCGATCTTGGCTCACTGCAACCTCCGCCTCCCAGGTTCAAGCGATTCTCCTGCCTCAGCCTTTCCAAATAGCTGGGATTACAGGTGCCCACCACCACACCTGGCTAATTTTTGTAGTTTTAGTGGAGACAGGGTTTCACCGTGTTGGCGAGACTGGTCTCAAACTCCTTACCTCAAGTGATCTGCCCACATTGGCCTCCCAAAGTGCTGGGATTACAGGCGTGAGCCACCGTGCATGGCCCATCTAAGTGTATTTTAAGTCTGGTTGGTTGAATCTTACGGATACAAGGGGACTTACTGTACTCAGTTCAACTTGTTAAATTATTTTTTTCTGTAATTTTTATTTTTTGAATTCTAAAATTTCTTTTTACCTATTGTTTTTTGAAGACATATCTTACTCTGTTGCCCGGGCCGAAGTGCAGTGGTGCCATCCCAGCTCACTGTAGCCTTGACATCCTGGGCTCAGGCAGTCCTCCCACCTCAGCCTCCTGAGTAGCTGAGGTGTGCGTCACCATCCTAGCTAATTTTATTTTATTTTATTTTTGTAGAGATGATATTTCACTATGTTGCCCAGGCTGGTCTTGAAACTCCTGTACTCAAACAATCTTCTTGCCTCAGCCTCCCAAAGTGCTGGTATTACAGGTGTGAGCCACCACACCCAGTTAATTTGTTAAATTATTAACAATGATAGCACTGAATGCTGGTGAGCATGTGGTGAGAAGAAAACTCGTTCTGCTGGTAGGAGGGTCAGTTGATTGCCCTTCAGAAAGGCAGTCTTAAAAGCCTTAGAACAATTCATGCTATGTCATAGGGAACCCAGAAATTTACCTAAGTATGGGACAGTTATATGAAACTGCCAGGATTCAACTGGCATTGACCTACAAATGGCAGTTCGGCAATTTCATAAAGTTCAAACTAAGATATGTAAATGATTAGTGTATGATAAAGGTGACGTAAATCATTGAGGAAAAGATGGATTGAAATGAATGGTTTGGGGACAACTGCCTAGCCAGTAAATAAAAGAGAATGGATCCCTACCTTATCTCTTAGACCAAGCTACATCTCAAATGAATAAAAGATATAAATGTATAAATTGAAACAGCAAACTATTAGGAGAAAGCATTGGTATTTTTTATTACCTTGATATCAAACCAAGATGTCGTAAAGGAAAATGAAGACTGTTTATGGCTGGTCACAGTGGCTCACACCTGTAATCCCAGCACTTTGGGAGGCCGAGGCAGGTGGATCACTTGAGGTCAGGAGTTGGAGACCAGCCTGGCCAACATGACGAAACCCCATCTCTACTAAAAGTACAAAAATTTGCCGGGCATGGTGGTGGGCACCTGTGATCCCAGCTACTGAGGAGGCTGAGGCAGGTGAATTGCTTGAACCCGGTGGGCGGAGGTTGCAATGAGCCAAGATTGCGCCACTTCACTCCAGCCTGGGCAAAAGAAAGAAACTCCATCTCAAAAAGAAAAGACATTTAACTGTGTTTAAAAAACAAAAAAAACATAAAGTAAAAATCAGGAAAAATGTTGGCAATATATATGACAAAGACCTTTTTTCCCTAATATTCAGAGTACATTCACTATTTACTAAAAAAATTGCAAATAACTATAGAAAAGGGGACAAAGGATGCAATTATTAAATAATTAAGTCATAGAACAATATAAATGCATAGTAAATAAATGAAAAAATGTCCAACTTTGCTAATAAAGAAATGCTCATTAAAACAAGATACCGCGGGGCGCGGTGGTGTGTGTTGGGGAATCGCAGCCTTGGGCGAGGCGAGAGGGTGATCCCCGGAGGGGGGTCAGGAGGAAGCGCGCCGATGGGGTGGATGAACAGCTGGAACGCCGCACGCGTCTTTTACTCAAGACAAGACACAAGAAAAAAGCACGTAGGAAAGCCGGCGAACGTAAGAGGTAGCGGGCGCCTGAGTACAGTTACACGGCAAACAGAGCTGAGGGGAGAGATGCAAGTAGAACGCCGGGAGGCAGAAGAAGTTGCGCTGAAGCTGAGATCACGACCGTGCACGCCTCCGCACACATGGGAGCGAGCGAGAGGCCGACTCCGTCTCGAAAGAGTAAAATAACAAGTACAAACAGGGCGATACCAATTTGTATGTTCACAGTTATTTGATAAAAAATTATGAACGAACTGAATGTAATAGGGCATAATTCTACTAATCTGTTGGTAAAGCTGAATATAAAATGTATGAGCACTTAATATTAAACAAAGCAATTCTACCCATAGCGAATAATTGACCGTAGAAATTTATATAAAATATAAAACATAAATATAATAAATTTTTTTTTCCTCCTCCAGGACGAAGAATCAACGCTTATCCCCTAGGCTGGAGTGAAAATGATGCAGAAGCATCAGCGTCATGCACCTCATCTTTTGGGTTCCAAGCAAATTCCGTGCCTTCAAGAAACCTCCAAGGCAGAGCTTATAGGGGGCCTTGCCACCAAGCAACGCTATTTTTTTGACTATTTTAGTTTAGAGCACAGGTTTCACGGTTGGTGCCAGGCTGGTCTCAAACTCCTGACATCAGGTGATGCCCTCCCGCCTCGGCGCTTCCGCTGGTGGGGAAATTTAAGGCATGAGCCACCGTGCCGCCGAAATATATTGTTTGGAGGTCGAGGGGACATTGTCTGCAAGATTAGACCAAGCTCTGTGACCTTAAAGTTCAGTGGGTCGTTAGTGTAAGAACCTTTCTGGGATTTTCGATGTAGGAAGGTGACTAGGTTTGGCAATGTAACAGGGATACTTTGTGTTTTTTCGGCCATGCGTAAAGTTAAGTGGGCGAAAAAATACCCAAATGAATTGACGCAGTTATAGGAGGGTGGTGGTAACGTAGAGTAGGCATGTGCAGTGGCTCACACCTATAAACCTCATGCCTTTGGGAGACTGAGCCAGGTTGATCACTTAAGCCCAGGAGTTTGAGACCAGCCTGGGCAACGTGCCGAAACCCCAGCTCATGAAAAGTACAAAAATAAGCTGGGCGTGGTGGCGCATGCCTGTAGTGCCAGCTACTGGGAAGGCTGAGGTGGGAGGATCAATTGAGCCCAGGAGGTCAAGGCTGCAGTGAGCCATGATTATGCCATTGCATTCCAACTTGGGTGATAGAGCAAGACCTTGTCTCAATCAGTCAGTCAGTAGTCGAATATTACCTAGTCATTGCAAATGATGATATAGCTCTGTATTGATGAAGGATGTTCATAGAAAAGCAACATCATAAAGGTTTTATTGAAAATTCTCTATAAGAGTAAACTCCAGAATGTAAACTGTATTGGGGTGGTGATGTTATGGGTCATTTTTGTTTTATATTTAGTAATTTATTTTCTAATTTTTCTTCTAAGATCATTGATTATTTGTATGGTTTTTAAAACCTCACCTATATAACTGTTTTATTTAATGTTGAATTTTGAATTCAGTTCTCATTTTGTCATTATTTAGAAGATAAATCTTGTCGTTAAGGGAACAACTTCAAAATTTAGGTTTGTTGTGTTTTTAGCTGTTGATAGATTGCTGCCATATTAAAAATATGATTTCCTTATTTATAGTGGGAAAGTAAAACTATCCTGCGCAATGAGCCTTTGGTTTTAGAGGGAGGCTATGAAAACTGGCTCCTTTGTTATCCCCAGTATACAACAAATGCTAAGGTCACTCCACCCCCACGACGCCAGAATGAAGAGGTGTCTATCTCATGTATGTATGTGAAAATTTTTGTTTAAAATTGCTTTGGTAAAATATACTTTAAAATTGTTTTCACAGTAACATTCTTGGTTGTGTGTGCATTTGTCCTATTAGAGAGCAGTTTGTTTTCAGGCATAAAAATATAAGCCTGGAAGTTCACATTTTCTTTAAGACTGTTGTAATTGTTTTTTCACTTAGTTTACTTTTAATTATTACATTAACATGCATGAGAAATGTAAGTACTGTGTATGGGCTTTGCTATTCTAAAAAACATTTTTATTTTTGGAATTTTAGTGGATTTTACTTATCCCTCATTGGAAGAATCAGTTCCTTCTAAACCTGCTGCCCAGATACCACCTCCATCTATAGAAGTAGATGAAAATATAGAATTGATAAGTGATCAAAATGAGAGAATGGGACCACTGAATATATCAACTCCAGCTGAACCAGTTGCTGCTTCTAAATCTGATGTTTCACCCATAATTCAGCCAGTGCCTAGTATAAAGAATATTCCACAGGTATGTTCTTGATTTTAACTTTATTCTCGCTTTTGTTTTAATATTAAATATATAGTATAGTTGGGCACAGTGCCTCACGCCTGTAATCCCAGCACTTCGGGAGGCTAAGAGGGGCGGATCACCTGAGGTCAGGAGTTTGAGACCAACCTGGCCGACATGGTGAAACCCCCTCTCTACTAATGATACAAAAATTAGCTGGGCATGGTGGTGGGTGCCTGTAATTCCAGCCATTTGGGAGGCTGAGGCATGAGAATTGTTTGAACCCAGGAAGCGGAGGTTGCAGTGAGTCAAGATTGCACCACTGCACCCCAGCCTGGGTGACAGCAAGACTCTGTCTCAAAAAAAAAAAATACAGTATAGAAATGAAGTTTAATATATAACCTTTAACATCTTAGAAAAAAGTATCAATGAGAAGAATCTGTATGTTTTGATAAATTTTTTGTTTAAAAATTTTTCATCATAATTCAGTGTTATTGCCATGCCTGTATTAGAGTAGATAATTCAAGGGATTTCCCCCAGTTGGCAATCCATTTGCTACAAATAATGCCAGTAAAAGATTGCATTACCACAGTGAATTAGAATAGCCCTTTTGGGACTTTTTGTATTATAATTTGACCCATAGTGTTTTCATAAATAGCTTGGCTTACATATGGTAGGTATGTGATGTCAGTATTTTGGTTTTAAAACAATAGTTTAGTTCCATTTCCTTAGAATTTGACATGCAAATAACAGGCATGTTTAACAACAATTATTTAAAAGTTTTTAAATAACCAAGACGTTACAAATAAAAAATTTTTAGTCTTTATTTCCTTCATTTGGCTTTATTTAAAGAAAGGTTAACTAATGTTCCCCCTCCATGCATTTCCCAATAACATTTTTAGCATTCATTTTTGATTTTTTCCCCAGATATATTTAAAACAGTATTTCACATTTAAAGTGGATGACATTTGATTTGTGGAGCAGGTATTGAATAGAAAATCTGGTAATTTTTTGTTATAAACTGAAGTGGTTCATTTCTTCATTTTTTTAAGGCATTTTAGTATTGCAGAATAAATTGCAGACTAAATAGATGTGATTAAACAAGTTTTCTTAAAGGGTAAATTTAGGAAAGTCTGAAAAGAACTTATGTTATTGCATTTCCTTTCAACTTAATCTGTTTAAACCCTAATCCTTTTGTGTCCCAACATAACTTTATAAGATACGTATAATTTTTTAGACACATTTTGAAGATCTGTATAAAAAACAGCATGGGTGCCATGGGTCACGTCTGTAATCCCAACACTTCGGGAGGCAGAGGCGAGTGGGTCACCTGAGGTCAGGAGTTCCAGACCAGCCTGGTCAACATGGTGTGAAACCCCATCTCTTCTAAAAATACAAAAATTAGCCAGGCGTGGTGGTGCGTGCCTGCAGTCCCAGCTACTCAGGAGGCTGAGGCAGGACAATCACATGAACCCAGGAAGCAGAGGTTGTAGTGAGCCGATATCGGGCCACTGCACTCTAGCCTAGGTGAGAGTGAGACTCTGTCTCAAAAAAAAAATAAGACAGCATGAAAGTTTGTAAATACAAGAGATGGATTCTTCTGATGTTTAGAAGGAGAGATCTGTATAAAATCAGCCACGACATAAGGCAAAATATCATAATTGCTCTACAAGTCACTGGAGCACAGAGCAAGGAGAATATTCTAGCTGAGAAGATCAAGGACGTCTTCATGGAGGAGACAGTATTTTATCTGGGCTTTAAGAGTAGGATTTGAGGATGGACGAAACACGTAGACAATTGTATGACCAAAAGGATAGGGCATGCTCTGGGGCCATTGAACAGTTTTGGCATACGTGGGCGCTAGTCTTTGTTGGAGAGAGGAAATTATGATAGTAGGTAAGATTAGAAGGATGGACAAGAGTCATCAAGAGAGACTTGGATCAAATTTTAATTTTGTCCTGTAGGCACAAAGAACCACTAAAGAATTTTAAACTTGAGAGTAACATGATCATAACTATACTTGTAAGATTAGGGAAAAATAGATCAAGCCACCAAAATGTAAATGGAAACAACATTTATTTTTGTTTCTGTTCCACCTCTTATTGTTAACCTCATCCCCATAGTGGTTCTTCCTACTTTATTCTCAAATACATGCAGAAAAAGAGACAAAGGATTTTTTTTTAAGAGGCAGAAAGAGAAGTGAACAGGAAAACAATTATTTTTTGTACGCTAACTTCTTTGTTTTTCTTTTTTTTTTTAAAACAGTGTCTCATTCTCTCATCCAGGCTGGAGTGCAGTAGCACGATCACAGCTCACTGCAGCTCGACTTCCTGGGTTCAAGCAATCCTCCCACCTCAACCTCCTGAGTAGCTGGGATTATAGGCACATGCCACCACGCCCGGCTAATTTTTGTATTTGTTGTAAAGATGGGGTTTTGCCATGTTGGCCAGGATGGTCTCGAACTCCTGACCTCAAGTGATCTACCCAGCTCGGGCTCTCAAAAGTGCTGGTATTACAGGCGTGAGTCACTGTGCCCAGCAACTTCTTTGTTTTCTAGTAGAAAAACATAAATTCGTTTTGTAAGAACACTATGTAGATTGTTATTGGCAGATGTTCTTAAAAGTTTTTATTTTTGTTTCATTACACAGTATTCTTAAGAAATGATGGTAGGGTCACTTCTCTAGTGTTAATATTCTGTTAAATTGAGGTAATAAATGTTTAACTCATTAAATCAGGAACTTAGGTAATTTATTACGCAACTTGAAGGAAACCAGTTAGTATTTTACCTCCTGTAAAAGTTGTTAGGGAAGATTGCATTTGTTCCCTCAGTAACATAGTTATTAACTGTGCCAGGCACAGTCTCTATCCTTTTAGAGCTTATATTCTAGGAGGGAAGAAAATTTTAAACAAGTAATTATAGTTACTTGATCAGAATTCCAATAGAGGGAGAAGAATAAGGTATTATAAGAGCATGTATCAGGGGACTTGGCTAGTTCTAGGGACAAGGGAAGTCTTTTCAGAGGGAGAGTGTAAGCCAAGACCTAATGTGGGCATTATCTAGATGAACAGCTGATAGACCTAAATTGGGAAGGAGTGTGGCATCTTTGAATAATTTTTTTTTTAAGGCAAGTATAGCCAGTATACACAACCATATGACTGGAGAGGTAGGCAGATGTAAGATCACACAGGGCCTTACAGGCTATGGTAAAGATTTTCGGTGTACTGAGGGCATAGTGGGTAGCAAATCAAATTTGTTTTAAAGTGAGTACTCTGGCTATAATGTGGAGAAACAGATTGGGGAGCGGGGACAAGAGAAGAGATGGGCAACTAGTTGAAAACTATAGGCCGGGCGCAGTGGCTCAAGCCTGTAATCCCAGCACTTTGGGAGGCTGAAACGGGTGGATCACGAGGTCAGGAGATCAAGACCATCCTGGCTAACAAGGTGAAACCCCGTCTCTACTAAAAAAATACAAAAAACTAGCCGGGCGAGGTGGCGGGCGCCTGTAGTCCCAGCTACTCGGGAGGCTGAGGCAGGAGAATGGCGTGAACCTGGGAGGCAGAGCTTGCAGTGAGCTGAGATCTGGCCACTGCACTCCAGCCTAGGCCACAGAGCGAGACTCCGTCTCAAAAAAAAAAAAAAAAAAAAAAAAAAAAAAAAAACTATGCTGTAGTCCTGGTGAGAGAGGAGGTTGGCATGGTCTTGGCCTGTGGTAGAAGAGATGGAGGGACAGATATAGGAGGAAAATTATCAGCGTGTAGAAGGATATGGGAAGAACATATCATGGGACTCAGGTTTTTGATTTGTGCAACTATTGGGAGAGTGGTTACATCCATGAGATTAGGACCACGTTTGCGGGGGTGAGGGAATTCGTGAATCCATTTTGGCTATATGAGGTTTGAGATATATGCAGTGACACTCAAATGGAAATATTGGGTAGGCATTTGGATACCTGGAAGTGGAACTTAAGTCTAGGTATGCCCAGGTCTAGGTTTTATGTTTTTAAATGAAGACATTTTTAACTCTTTTGTATACAAAACACTCAGGAAGAATTGAAAGTTGATCAAGAGGATGTAAGTTCCAGTGATGTTTGGATATCTCCCATTCAAGTTCTGTTTTATGAGAAATCTTGACACTGAGTAATTAACAAGTAGATGGCCTGATAGATGTTGTCTCCACAAAGTGACACTTCTTTTTATCACAACTTGATCTCAAGAACTGAGGTTATTTCCTGATTTTTGACAAAAATGTTTTGCTCTTTGTTGCTCTAGATTGATCGTACTAAAAAACCAGCAGTCAAATTGCCTGAAGAGCATAGAACAAAATCTGAAAGTACAAACCATGAGCAACAATCTCCTCAGAATGGAAAAGTTATTCCTGATCGTTCCACCAAGCCAGTAGTTTTCTCTCCAACTCTCATGTTAACAGATGAAGAAAAGGCTCGTATTCATGCAGAAACTGCTCTTCTAATGGAGAAAAACAAACAAGAAAAAGAACTTCGGGAAAGGCAGCAAGAGGAACAGAAAGAGAAACTGAGGAGGGAAGAACAAGAACAAAAAGCCAAAAAGAAACAAGAAGCTGAAGAAAATGAAATTACAGAGAAGCAACAAAAAGCAAAAGAAGAAATGGAGAAGAAAGAAAGCGAACAGGCCAAGAAAGAAGATAAAGAAACCTCAGCAAAGAGGGGCAAAGAAATAACAGGAGTAAAAAGACAAAGTAAAAGTGAACATGAAACTTCTGATGCCAAGAAATCTGTAGAAGACAGGGGGAAAAGGTGTCCAACCCCAGAAGTACAGAAAAAGTCAACAGGAGATGTGCCCCATACATCTGCGACAGGGGATTTGGGTTCAGGCAAGGTAAGCAGAAACAGTACATATTGCCAACAAAGTGAAAAGGGCAGGCATTTCAAATAGTCTTTTCAGGGGTGATAGAAAGTACTGATCTATGCACATTTGCTCACCTATTCTCCTTTGAGGCCAGTGCCGTACATTTATGAAATGATTGGTTGGGAATGAAATTGCTTTTTGTATATTACATCTATAAAATGCAATATATTTCTTTTTTTCTTTTTTTTTTTTTTTGAAATGGAGTCTCGCTCTGTCACCCAGGCTGGAGTACAGTGGCACAATCTCAGCTCACTGCAAGCTCCGCCTCCCGGGTTCACGCCATTTTCCTGCCTCAGCCTCCAGAGTAGCTGGGACTACAGGCGCATGCCAGCATGCCTGGCTAATTTTTCGTATTTTTAGTAGAGACGGGGTTTCACCATGTTAGCCAGGATGGTCTCGATCTCCTGACCTCGTGATCCACCTGCCTCGGCCTCCCAAAGTGCTGGGATTAGAGGCGTGAGCCACCATGCCCGGCGATATTTCAAATAATTGAGATAAATAGTTACATTCTTCATTTTTATGTTTGATGTATGATCATGGAAAGACTAGAGTGAAATATAATCTCATTATGGGGGAACTAGATGCCAATATTTGTATGATAAAATTTTTATCTGTTTAGAATATATCCAAAATCAGTGACATCTAAATGGCCCAACATTTATCTTTGCATATAATGATTTTTTGGTCACATCAGTGTCATTTTTTTTCTTGCTTTATCTATTCAAATAATATTGGCAAATAACCCAATTAATTTTGCCCTTGGCTACACACCCAAAATTGATAGCCGTAATTTTAGGGGACATTTTTTGTTATTCTTTTTCAGTCTCTAATAATGCCATGCTTTTCTTTTTTTCTTCATTATGTCATTAACAATGCCTTTTCCTTTTGAACACCAAGTATGTATTTATAATACCAAGAACAGTTACAATCCTTTTTACATATATGTAAATGGAAAAAACATTTTTAGCAGTGCGAAAATGACTTCTAATGGAAGGCAGGATACCATCTTTACAGAATGTTAACTTCTATACTTCTCAAACACCATTCAGGCATGTTACCAAAATTAATTCATAGTCAAGCCGCTCTTATCCAGGGAACACTTATCTGGTAACCTCTGCTATTAAAAAAGATAACTTCCATGCAAAAACCTTCTAGACACCCCAAATTAGGGATATGAAGCCCATGTACTAAAACGCTCTAACTTTATTCACAGGAGGAGCAAAACATGTGAGCTCCAAGATACAATTTAAGTATTATTCATTGGGTAGCTAGTATATGCCAGGTATTTTCACTGCATTATCTTATTTACTCCTAATGATAATCCTATAAGGTATTTAATTTACAAGTGAAACTGAAGTTTAGAGGTTAAATATTTGCTTAAGATCATCACATAGATAGTGAGATTCCAAAGCCACTTCCTTTCCATCTTGCTATGCTAGAGGCATGCAGTCTTTAGAACTTAAATCATTCGTATTTGTGGAGTCATTTAGTATATAGGTGCCAAATATTCCTACACATCTAAGATTGCATTCCTTGTGTGCTCCTTTTAAAAGTAGGAGAAATATGTAATTTATTCTAGAATAAATTTTGTTAAAATTATCACTAATTTTAAAGTTTTTAGTAGAGTTATTTTAAAATAAGATATAAAACTAAAATGAGTTTTTAAAAAGAATCTATGGGTTGGGCGTGTTGGCCCACGCCTATAATCCCAGCACTTTGGGAGGCCTAGACCAGTGGATCACAAGGTCAGTAGATCAAGATGATCCTGGCTAACACGGTAAAACCCTGTCTCTACTAAAAATACAAAAAATTAGCCAGGTGTGGTGGTGTGCGCTGTAGTCCCAGCTACTCGGGAGGCTGAGGCAGGAGAATCGCTTGAACCCGTGAGGCAGAGGTTGCAGTGAGCTGAGATCGTGCCACTGCACTCCAACCTGGGTGACAGAGCGAGACTCGGCCTCAAAAAAATGTATGGTGTTATAAGAAGATATGAATACAGATTTTTGCATTTTTGACTATTGGTCTGTATCTTAATTTCTCCATTCTCTTGAATACTTTAAATTTTTTGAAGCACAACTCCTTTCAAGGTAACCAAAATCATAATAATATTTAAGTAAAAGATAATGTTCAGCTGGGCGCGGTGGCTCACGCCTGTAATCCCAGCACTTTGGGAGGCCGAGGCAGGTGGATCACGAGGTCAGGAGATCGAGACCATCCTGGCTAACAGGGTGAAACCCCGTCTCTACTAAAAATACAAAAAATTAGCCGGTTCTGGTGGCGGGCGCCTGTAGTCCCAGCTAGTCGGAAGGCTGAGGCAGGAGACTGGTGTGAACCCGGGAGGCGGAGCTTGCAGTGAGCCAAGATCGCGCCACTGCACTCCAGCCTGGGCGACAGAGCGAGACTCCATCTCAAAAAAAAAAAAAAGATAATGTTCAAATTAGGTCTTGAGGAATATACATTAATGATCAGCATTTTATACTTGGCCATGTAGTGTGAACCAGTGCTTCACAATCCACTTTGATTTTCATCTTTTTTTTTTTCACTGATTCATCAGAGTTCTTTAGTTTTTTAAGTATTTTGACTGTGACAGTAAAATATAATAAAATTTTCAGAGGCCTTTTTTTCTCCTTTTACATTTTCAGTCTCATAGATTCGGTTGTGTTAACTAGTAGCTTTGTGTTGGAAGGAGAGTTAAAGTTTTCTTTCACTTCTGTAATTTTAATAATTTTACAGCCATTTAAGATTAAAGGACAACCAGAAAGTGGAATTCTAAGGACAGGAACTTTTAGAGAGGATACAGACGATACCGAAAGAAATAAAGTAAGTAGTTCATTGCAGGAAAACACTGGAAAAAAACCAAACGTGGATTGTAACTATGTGATTATCGTACCACACTGTCATCTTTTATCATGAGATCTACAGTGTAAGGGGATCGTTGCCATCTTTGGTAGCTGGTGTTTTGCTTGTTTTTACACGATCACTCCATTTATATGCTAAAGGAAATAGAGTTTGTCTTCCTGTTTAAAGTTTGACAGCATATTCTATTTATTTTATGAAAGTAAAAAATGTTTAGCCCTTACCATATGATCCAGCAATTCTACTTCAGGGTATATACCCAAAAGAATTGCAAACAAGAAGTATTTGTACACCCATGTTCTTAGAGTATTATTCATAATAGCTGAAAAATGGAAGCAACCCAGATGTCCATCAGCAGGTGAATGCATAAACAAATGGGATATGTAAATATAACGGAATATTATTCAGCCTTAAAAAGGAAGGAAATTCTGACACGCTACAGCATGGATGAATCTTGAGGTCATTTGCTAAGTGAAATAAGCCCAGTTGCAGGATAAATACTGAGTGATTCCATTTCTGTGAGGTTTGTAAAGTAGGCAAATTTATAGAGACAGAAAGTAGAATGGTGGTTGTCAGAGCCAGAGAAAGAGGAAATGGGGAGTTATTGTTCAGCAGGTACAGAGTTTCAGTTTTACAAGATGAAAAGAGTTCTAGAGATTGTTGGCACAGCAATATACTTAATGTCACTAACCAGTGCACCTTAAAATGGTTAAGATGGTAAATGTTATGTGTATTTCATCACAATTTTTAAAACACATAGGCTTTGTATAAGACATCTTTGCTGGGCACGGTGGCTCACACTCGTAATCTTAGCACTATGGGAGGCTGAGGTGGGCAGATCACGAGGTCAGGAGATTGAGACCATCTTGGCTAACAGGGTGAAACCCCATCTCTACTAAAAATACAAAAAAAAAAGTAACCAGGCTTGGTGGCGGGTGCCTGTAGTCCCAGCTACTTGGGAGGCTGAGGCAGGAGAATGGATGAACCAGGGAGGTGGAGCTTGCAGTGAGCCAAGATCGTGCCACTGCACTCCAGCCTGGGCAACAGAGCGAGACTCCATCTAAAAAAAAAAAAAAGAAGAAGACATCTTTGACTTTGTTTTTCCTTCAGATCTTGAGATACAATTTGCATACCATAAAATTCACCCATTTTTAACATGCAGTTCAGTGATTTTTTTTTTTTTTTTTTTTTTTTTTAGTAATTTAGTGTTGTGAAACCATTAATACAATCCAATTTTAGAACATTGCCATCACACCAAAGAGACCCTATGCCCAATTTAGTCTACCCTAAAGCCCAGGCAACCCTGAGTCTACTCTCTGTCTCCATAGATCTGTCTTCTCTGGGATATATATACAGTCTTCCCTTGGTATCTGTAGATGACTGGTTCCATGACCTCCCTCTCATACCAAAATCTGAGGATGCTCGAGTCCCCTACATAAAGTGGTGTAGTGTGTGCATATCATCTATACACATCCTCCTATATACTTTAAATCATCTCTAGGTTACATACCTAACACGGTGTAAATGCTATGAAAATAGATGTTATACTGTATTTTTTAGGGAATAATAAAAGCCTGCACATGTTCAGTACACCCAGAATTATTTTTTTCAAGTATTTTGAATCTGTGGATGGTTGAATTCACAGATGCAGAACCGATGAATACAGAGGACCGACTCCATATCCGATCTAAATCCGTGTGAATTTAACATGTTAAATTTTTGTTAAGTCATTCTGCTGTATTTTGCCATTAAAAAAATGTGAGACCAGCCTTGGCAACATAGCAAGACCCCTTTTCTCCACAGAAAGGGGAAAAAAAGGAGGGGGGTGAGGGTATGGTTGCTCATGCCTGTAATTCCAGCACTTTGAGGGGCTGAGGCAGGTGGATCGCTTGAGCCCCAGGAGTTCAAGACCAGCCTGGGCAACATGGCAAAACCCTGTCTCTAGAAAAAAATATTAAAAAGTAGCCAGGTTTGGTGGCGCCTGCCTGTAGTCCCAGCTAGTTGAGAGGCTGAGGTGGGAGGATCACCTGATCCTGGGGAGGTCAAGGATACAGTGAGCCGTGATCATGCTACTGCATTCCAACCAGGGCAACAAGGGTGAGAGCCTATCTCAAACAAAAGGGGGAAAAATGACATAAAATATATTAAGACTAGAATGACTGACTGAATTCACAATTTTCTTATTTTTGACTGCAATAGTTAAAGGGCCACAGCAACAACAAACATATTGATATACAAAAAAATGTTCATGAACTACAGAAGTCAAATAATTTATAGAATTTATTTGTTTAGATCTAAGATTAACTAAATATAACACATAACCCATTAAAAACATGTTATGTAAGAATGATACAATGGACTTTGGGGACTTGGGGGCAAGGGATAAAAGACTACAAATAGGGTACATTGTATACTGCTCAGGTGATAGGTACACTGAAATCTCACAGATCACCACTAAAGAGCTTACTAATGGCTGGGCACGGTGGCTCATGCCTGTAATCCCAACACTTTGGGAGGCCGAGGCGGGAGGATCATTTGAGGTCAGGAGTTTGAGACCAGCCTGGCCAATATGATGAAACCCTGTCTCAACAAAAAGTAGCCGAGTGTGGTGGCGGGCGCCTGTAGTCCCAGCTACTTGGGAGGCTAAGGCAGGAGAACTGCTTGAACCCAGGAGGCAGAGGTTGCAGTGAGCCAAGATGAGGCCATTGCACTCCAGCCTGGGTGACAGAGTGAGACTCCCTGTGGAAAAAAAATAAAAAAGAACTTACTAATGTAACCAAGTATCACCTGTACCCCAATAACCTATGAAAAAATAAAAAATAAAACCAAAAAAACCACATTTTATTAAAATTCTTCTAAGAACCAAAAATAAAATGTACACACACACACACACACACGCACGCACGCCTTCTCTTCTTCTGTTCCTTTTAAAGAGAAAGTAGGGATTAAATGACCAGAAGCACAAAGTGAAGACTAACAAATAGAAAGTGAAAATAGAGGTTTGCAGTTACTCCCACTGGTCCTGACATTTTAAGCAGGGCTTCACACCAGCTACAGCCCAGATCTTTGGCAACATTGAAAGGAAAGCAAAAGTTGTCTTTGTTGGCCACCCACCATCTTGCCCCATCTCTGCCCTTCAGGAAGCAAGGGTACTCAGTGTATCTTCTGGCTGTCTTAAATCTCATACTGTATAATCCACTCTACACTCATTCTGTGTAAAATGCCACAGACAACTAAGTATTGATTAAATAACATTTTAAAGTAATTATCAGGTATTAAGAAGGCTCAACCTTCTCAAGATTTACTCACTGCTAAAACTTACTGTATTTGCTGAGCAACCGCTATGTCTCTAGGACTGTGCTAAATGCTTGATGGCAGTGTTTTTGAAATCCATAAGGTCATAATCAGTATAAGCCTAGGTGTGGTGGCACACACCTGCAGACCCAGCTACTTGCGAGAGTGAGGTAAGAGAATCATTTATGCCAAGGATTCCAGAACAGCCTCGGCAATGTAGTGAAACCCCATCTCTAAAAATTTTTTAAATAAATGATATTTGCAAACATTTTCTCCCAATATGTGGCTTATCTTTTCATTTTCTTGATGGAGTTTCTTGAAGCACAAAAGTTTTTGTGGAAGTCCATTCTGTCGTATTTTTCTCATGTGAATCGTACTCTTGGTATTGTATCAAAGGAACATTTTGTCTGACCCAAAGTCATAAGGTAATGAAGATTTTCTCCTGTTTTCTTCTTAAGGTTTTAGTTTTAGTCCTTAGATCTATGATCCATTTCAAGTTAATTTTTATATACAGTGTGGTAAGGATCTAAATCCATCTTTTTGTATGTGGATATTTAGTTGTGCTGTTTGCCTTCGTTTTGACAGAATTTTTTTCCAGCACACAGATTCTATTTATTACATGTTTGTATTCAACAGAATTTGTCACAGGCAGTAGTATAGTAGCATGATCATAGCTCACCTAACCACCTGGGCTCAAGCTTTAACCACCTGGGCTCAAGCTTTAACCACCTGGGCTCAAGCTTTGACCGCTTGGGCTCAAGCGATCCTCCCACCTTGGCTTCCTGAGTAGCTAGGACCACAGGTGCATGCCACTAAGCCTGGCTTTTTTTTTTTTTTTTTTGGTGACGGAGTCTTGCTGTGCCACCCAGGCGGGAGTGTAGTGGCACACTCAGCTCATTGCAACCTCCGCCTCCCACGTTCAAGCAATTCTTCTGCCTCAGTCTCCTGAGTATCTGGAATTACAGGTACATACCACCATGCCTGGCTAATTTTTGTGTTGTTTTTTTTAGTAGAGATGGGGTTTCTACTCTCTTGTTGGCCAAGCTGGTCTCAAACTTCTGACCTCAGGTGATCCACCTGCCTCGGCCTCCCAAAGTGCTGGGATTACAGGCGTGAGCCACTGTGCCTGGCCAAACCTGGGTAATTTTTAAAAATTTTTTTGTAGGGATGGGTTCTCTCTATGTTGCCCAGGCTGATCTCAAAACTCCTGGGCTCAAGAGATCCTCCTGCCTTGGCCTCCCAAAGTGCTGGATTCCAGGTATGAGCCACCCTGTCTGGCCTAGAATGTATATATTTTAAGACATGAAGAATATAAAAATAGAAATGGGTGGTTCATCAAGTGTTTTTGTTTTCTATTAATAATTTTTTAAAGGAAGTGGAAGTATCATATTCAATTATATTGAGGTTGATGCCTCAATATATTGGTTTGTTTTTACTTATATAACATTTCATCAGTATTTTGTGGAATGAATGAATATAGAAGAAATGTTAGCAGAGCAAGATGACTTTAGGTAGATTTAGAATAAGCCATGATAATGAAATTTTGTAGCCTTTCTTGTGAATATTCATTTGCTAGGATGCTATATCATCTATTCTCTACTTACACCTCTTAGCATACAGAGAAAGGGCACACTCAGTCCTGAAGAATACATTAGGTTTAAATTTTATGTAATCGTTTACTGTGGAAAACTAAAAAAAAAAATTTGACTAAACTACCTTGAAATGCAAAATTAAAAAAAAAAAAGTAACCTTTCTTATTTGCTTGGATCTACTGTCTTCCTCCCCGTGAACTACCACAGAAGGCCATCTACCTCCACCTCGCCACCTGCTATCATTACAGGCTTAGACATACTCCTCTACACCTTGGTATAGTCATGTTTGGACTTTGAGAAAAAGATAAATTTTTTTCATCTCTGAATCTGTCTTTTAAAATATGAAGGGCAGCCAAGGCAAGGTTTTTTGATTCTTTGGTACAAGTGGCTTAAGTTTTTATATGACAAATTTTAATTGAAAAAAACGATTTTTTTTTTTTTTTTTAATTAGGCTCAACGAGAACCTTTGACAAGAGCACGAAGTGAAGAAATGGGAAGGATCGTACCAGGACTGCCTTCAGGCTGGGCCAAGGTAAAAGTCAGAATTAGCAATGCAGTAGCCACTGTGTTCCTAAAAAATGTTTTTAAAATTTGTTTTACATCTTCTGTAATGCAGAGTCAATTCCATTTCTCCATTATGAGATTTCTCAATACCCAACCTGAGATGCTGGCTACAATATATGAGCATTCTGGCATTTATCATTACAAATGGTGTATTACTTTAAAACCTTAATTTATTTTGAAGTTTATCACCATTTTATTCAAATTATTTTAATCCAGAAGTAAATTTAGCAGAATATTTCGGAGTAATTTGTTTATATAATGCTTATTTTTGTTTTTTGACCTGTTTCTGTTTTTTCTTTTCCATCTAAGTTTCTTGACCCAATCACTGGAACCTTTCGTTATTATCATTCACCCACCAACACTGTTCATATGTACCCACCGGAAATGGCTCCTTCATCTGCACCTCCTTCCACCCCTCCAACTCATAAAGCCAAGCCACAGATTCCTGCTGAGCGGGATAGGGAACCTTCCAAACTGAAGCGCTCCTACTCCTCCCCAGATATAACCCAGGCTATTCAGGAGGAAGAGAAGAGGAAGCCAACAGTAACTCCAACGGTTAATCGAGAAAACAAGTACGTTTATCTTAACTCCTAGAACTAAAATAATGTGCTGTATTTCAAAATTTCTACTCTGAATCTATCAGCATGTTAGTGTCAGGGAGTTGGAAATTTCTGTGGATGGCTATACCAGCCATTATTATTTACCACAGAATAAAACAAATGAATAGAGAAAATGTTGGTTTTTCTCCCAAGTGCTCACTTAATATCATACCAGAGAGGATTATTTTAAGTATTAATGTAGATATAAAATCATTGTTATGTTTTACAGCCTTATGCCAGAGTACTTTCACATTTTTCATAGACCTCCTGTGGTCCCTGAATCTCCCTTTGAGGACCATAATTTTCAGGATTATTGAGCTTGCCTTGTTGCAGCACTCAAGTTCCAAACTTTTTTTTCCCTTAGCCAGTAATGTGAGTGAAGTTTTCCTACAGTATTAAAATAACAAGCACTTTAGTATATCAGCCTCTAATCCTTATTCTGTTCCTTTTTCCTTCATTGTATTTTTGCTATTCTGTTTACAAATAGTGACCAGTAGGTTAAGTTTCCCAAAATAGTGTTTTATTTAGCTATACTTCTGGCTTCGTCCCTTTTGGAATCCTCTTAGCTTATGACTGATAGGGCTATGAGGAGATGATTTTAAAGTGTGTGTACCACTTCTAATCTTTACTTTCTTGGAGGAGGGGGGAAATAGGTGGAAGTATAAATAAATGAGTTTTTTCCCCCATTTATTATACATTTGTATTTGCTAAGGAATTTTAATTAGGCTGTCTTTTAAGCCTCGTTAGTAACACATCCTAAGAAAGTTGAAATTTTTTCCTCCTGAGAACTTACCCTGCTAGGTATTCGAAGGAGCTTTTAAAAATTCTGTTAATCTTGTTACAGGTTTTAGGGTTCATTATAATAACTAGTGAGATTTAATTTCTTCTTGATTCATCATTCTTAGTAAAGTGTGTTAATTTGATAGTGTTTTAAGGATTATCATTTGCTGTTCATGTATTTATGTATATTGAACAGAAAAAGCACACATGAGTACATGCACCTGAGTGCATGTAAAGAAGAGCTGATTGAAATATAGTTTAATCTGTCCTCAGTATACTTTTAGGGGTGGAAGAACATTAAGGATTGATTAAAAAAGAAAAAAAACCTATCAGTTAAGATTTTCCTTATGCTTCAGCAGTTCTAGTAGTTCCACATATAAATAAAAAACACCATATTACAGAAGTCTAGAAGGCATTCTCTGCCCCAGCACTGTCCAGCAGATCTTTCTGTGGTGATAGAAATGTTCTGTGTCTGTACTGTCCACTATGGTTTGTGGCTACTTTGAAACGTGATTAGTGCAACTAAGGAATTTTTTTTTTTCTTTTTTTTTTTTTTTTTTTTTAATGAGACGGAATCTCACCCTGTCACCCAGGCTCAAGTACAGTGGCTTGATCTCAGTTCACTGCAACCTCTGCCTCCTCAAGCGATTCTCCTGCCTCAGCCTTCTGAGTAGCTGGGACTACAGGCATCCACCACCATGCCCAGCTACTTTTTGTATTTTTAGTAGAGATAGGGTTTCACTATGTTGGCCAGGCTGGTCTCAAACTCCTGACCTCAGGTGATCTGCCCTCCTCGGCCTCCCAAAAGTGGTGGGATTATAGACGTGAGCCGTCATGCCCAGCTGGAACTGTATTTTTTGACTAGCCATCCGTGGATAGTCAATACTCTAAAATTTAAGTAATAGTACCCAAATAACCTCTGCTTCCCTTGATATCTACTCCACGGTATTTTTTTTATTTATTTATTTTTTGAGACAGAGTTTCACTCTTGTTGCCCAGGCTGGAGTGCGATGGCACATCTCCAGCTCACCGCAAGCTCCGCCTCCCAGGTTCAAGCCATTCTCCTGCCTCAGGCTCCCGAGTAGCTGAGATTACAGGCATGTGCCACAACACCTGGCTAATTGTGTATTTTTAGCAGAGATGGGATTTCTCCATGTTGGTCAGGGTGGTCTCGAACTCCCAACCTCAGGTGATCCGCTCACCTCGGCCTCCCAAAGTGCTGGGATTACAAGCGTGAGCCACCTCACCTGGCCACGTTTTTTTGTTGTTGTTGTTGTTTTTTAATTTTTCCTTGTTTGGCATTCTGGGTGAGTTCAAACATTTGATAATGACAAACTTCCAAGGATCATTTAAAGGAGTTGAAAAGAGCCTTCTCTACTAGAGCTCCTAGTTCATGAGAAGCGAGATAATCTATCTCATGGTGTCTCTAAGAACCATGATCCACATTCAGAGGTTAAAGGATATGTTTCATGGAGAGACCTTAGTCATATGACTAATGTTAACCTAAATATCAAATGTCTTGGAAGGCCCAGCATCTTATGAGTTAACATATCAACTGTTTACAAAATGCCTGTGGTACAGGTGCTACAGTTGGCCACCATTTATAGTATAGAACCCCAATTTCATATACTCAGCATTTTAAGACATCTTGTATCCTTTTTTTCTTCCTCAGGCCAACATGTTATCCTAAAGCTGAGATCTCAAGGCTTTCTGCTTCTCAGATTCGGAACCTCAATCCTGTTTTTGGAGGTTCTGGACCAGCTCTTACTGGACTTCGTAACTTAGGAAATACTTGTTATATGAACTCAATATTGCAGTGCCTATGTAATGCTCCACATTTGGCTGATTATTTCAACCGAAACTGTTACCAGGATGATATTAACAGGTAAATAAATGTCATACTTTTTGCATTGTAATCCTAAATAATGATGCTTTATAATGCTAAAAGGATGATCTAACTATATTTACTGTCTTAGTCCATTAGTTTTCTGCTGCTATAACAAAATACCTGAGACTAGGTAATTTGTAAAGTATGGAAATTTATTTTCTCTTAGTTCTTGACTGGGAAGGCCATCATCTAGGTGCCGGTATCTGGTGAGCTTTTTTGCTGCATCCTCACATGGTAGAAGGTGGAAGGGCAAGAGGACAACCTCCTCCTGTCAAGCCCCTTAATAACGGCACCTAATCCTATTCTCCAGGGAGGGGAGCCCTCATGGCCTTAGCACCTCTGTAAAGGCCCCATCTCTTCATCCTGTCACATTGGCAACACCTGAATTTTGGGATCTTTGAAGTGAATCTGGTGGTAAACCTGTGAATAAGCAAGCATTTTGGTGTAGGGCTACAGTATGTGAATAATTTCATGTTGACATCAAGAATCCACTGTACCTTGCTGAATTTTTAAACTTCCTATTGTCTTTTGTAACTTTTATTTGCACAGGTCAAATTTGTTGGGGCATAAAGGTGAAGTGGCAGAAGAATTTGGTATAATCATGAAAGCCCTGTGGACAGGACAGTATAGATATATCAGTCCAAAAGACTTTAAAATCACCATTGGGAAGATCAATGACCAGTTTGCAGGATACAGTCAGCAAGATTCACAAGAATTGCTTCTGTTCCTAATGGATGGTCTCCATGAAGATCTAAATAAAGTAAGAAATTTGATTTTTCTAAGTTGCAGAGACTCTTTAGGGTTGCTCAGTAGTGCTGTATTTTTATTATTTTCATAGCAGTTTAAAATTCTAGTTGGTGATAGCCCAGCGCTTGTTCATTCAAACAGTGGCTGTGGGAGAGAATTATGAAACACTGGTAAGTGCAGTGTTTGAAGCATGTACAGCTGGCATTTACTAGTTAGCAAGCAGTATTGCTGAGAAATTTGCAAATGTTACAATAGTTATTGGAGTTTGTGACCCACATGTATGTGAAAGTAAAATCATAAATGATCTTATAAAAGATGAGTTTCAGCATTTTTACTGTATATTTATATAATTTCACATATATAATATGTATATGTTATTGTACATATCCTTACTCTTTTCTTTTTCCTAGTCCCTTGCTGAAAGTGGCACATGCCTTTATTCTTATACATCCTTCTAAAATAAGAATTACTCGACTGGGCACCGTGGCTTATGCCTGTAATCCCAGCACTTTGGGAGGCCAAGGCTGGTGGATCACCTGAGGTCAGGAGTTTGAGACCAGCCTGGCCAACATGGCAAAACCTCATCTCTACTAAAAATACAAAAATTGGCTGGGTGTGGTGGCATGCGCCTGTATTCTACTCAGGAGGCTGAAGCAGGAGAATTGCTTGAACCTGGGAGGCGGAAGTTGCAGTGAGCCGAGATTGCAGTGACCACTGCACTCCAGCCTGGGTGACAGAGTGAGACTCTTTCTCAAAAAAAAGAATCCATGTAACCAAATGACTCATGTTACTAGTTACAAAGGCATGTATGTATACATCAGTGACCACCCTCCATTTCTGTACTACAACTTCTTTTTAGCACTTTTTATCTCACATACTTTTGGGGTCACCATTCTTAACCACTGAACAGATATATACACCTACACAAAAATATCTGTGTGTGTGTGTGTGTGTGTGTGTGTGTATATATATATATATATATAAAAAATGAGGCTAGGGCAACAAAATTATATCCATCCAGTTGTAGCCCTAGTTCCCAGCTATATATGAGATATCTTTTCTCAAAACCAAACTTTTTAGCTTTTTCTTTTTTTTT